TGCAGTCTCTGCTCTCCAGCCCCCTGACTGCCCCGGCTCCAGTTCCCTCTCAGGCCTGGTCCTCCAGCCCTCCCCACCTGCCAGTCAACTCCATTCCTGTCTACGGGAGGCAGAGCTGGCTTCCGTGGCTCATGGCTCAAGAGCCCTCGCTGATACAGACCACCCCTGATGGTGGTTAGAGGTGGGCAGTTTCCCACCTTCCAGCTTCGTAGTGTGAACACCTGCTGGACAAGCCACCTGGCTTGTTACCAACAGGGAAGACCAGGGAACTCTGCCATTGCCGCTGAGGCAGCAGCAAGTTCATCATCATTATTAAGATGTTTTGGGGGCCGAGGAACAAGGCCTTCATAAAGAAGACACCACAGTCCCAAATGGATCCTGTTCCCAGATGCACGCAGCAGCCACTCGTGGAGGGGGCAGGGCCCGTCCCGCCTGGTCTCTGCCTCAGCTGGCGAGGAGAGGCTGCAGCTTGTTGGCACAGGAGTGATGCGCTGAGGAAGCGGTGGGCTCCTGGAGCTCCTCAGCCTCCCTCCACCTGGGGAGCTTCGATAGGGGGATGGTAAGACAGCAGAGCAGAGCGCCCTGGGCTCAGGTGCACTCCCAGAGCCAACTCTGCCTTTTAGCTCTGTAGCTGGCAACCAGTGCCGTGCTGCGGACTGTCAGCTCTCCTGGTTTTGCCAGGACGTGGGGAGACGGAGCTCTGGGGTCCTCAGCAAGTCCTTAAAATTGCTGCAGGGCCTTATTTGCAAAGCGGGCACAGTTTTGTCTGTTTCCAGCAGCAGCCCCCAGGAGGGGGGATGGGAGAGGAACATGCAGCAGATGCAGCAGGCTCTGGGTCAGGGGTAGGGCAGCCCCTGGGGCTTTGCTCAAGCTTGGGCCCTTTGCCTAGAAGACTCTCCCACCCCTCTTCTGCCTGCTCAAGCTGGCTAAGAGCTATGGAGCGTGGCAGACCAGGGTTCAGATGTTGGCTCTGACACTCACTGACCCCAGGACCTTGGACAAGGGCCTTGCCATCTCTGAATCTCAGTTTTCCCAGCTGTGAAGTGGGCATGCTAACAGCATGCCGCCAGGCACAGTATGTGAGCATACGTCTCTTCCTTGGCTTATTATACCTCTTCCCCTACCCGATAGCGAGCTCTGTAGGGCAGGGTGATGCCCATATTCCTCCTGGCTGCACCCCCAGCACCAGCCTAGCCTGGAGCATAGTAGGTCCTGTGTGTCTACTTCTTGGATGAATGACACGAGCCTGAGCTCCCTGGCAGTCTGGCTTCCTGGGCCGGCTCCTGGCTGGGACACCTGCCAGCTGCCTGGCCCATCTGGTACCATCTGTGGTGATGAGAACGCCATCCTGGCCATACGGCAGACTCCATGCTAACCCTCGCTGCCCCCCACAGGGTAATGCTCCCTTCCGTGGACACTGTGCCTGGGGTGGGACACGAGCAGGTCGGGGAATCAGTGGGGCCAGGCCCCGTGGGGAAAGGATCGTGGAGCCTGATGTTTGGTACAAGTGCCCAGAGCAGGCCAAATTGTCAAGAGGACAAGTGTCACCATGTCCCCACCAAAGCGTCACTGTGTCCCCATCCCCCGTCTCTCTTTACCCCCAACCCCAGGCTCCCCTGCCTCTGCCTGGAGATCCCTCCCTGGCAGCCCCTCTCGGTCTGATTGCACCTGACTTCTAACCCTCCCCGGCCCGCCCATCTCCAGTGCTCCCCACCGCACGGCGTGTCCAGCACAGACGACTGCTGAGGCAGCAAAGCTAGTGGAGGTTGAAGGGGACTTGCAGAGTCACAAAGACCCAGGGCCAAAGCCCAGCGCTGGCGCTTTCCAGCTGTGTGGTCTCCTGTAAGTGACTCTGCCTCTCTGTCCTCACGTGCAGAACACACCAGTTGCACGCCCAGTGCCCAGGGCGGGTTAAATGCAGCCGCTCCTGCAGAGGGCTGAGCGCAGGGCTCGGCCCGAGGGAAGGGAGCTACTGCCGCTACCACTGATGGCACGACGCCCACTCCTGTCCTTGGTGGCAGATGAGCTTAATTCCCCCCGTTCGCCCTCTCCACGCCTTTTGTCGGCCGCCTCCTCTGCCCCGAATGCCCTCCTTCCTGTCTCCGAAGTGGAAACCTCTTCCCAGGTGAAAATAAACGAACACATCCTTTGTGGCCTCCATCTCCCTAGACATGTGTGACCCCTCTTCTCTGACCTCCAGGCACTACTTGTCCCACCACCGTGAAGATGCTTTCTAAGGTGTGACTCATTATGCCCATTTCTCAGATGAGGAGAGAGGCTCCCACAGCCAATGAGTGGCCGGCTGGGCTTGGCACCCATGTCTGACTCAGCCCACGTTTCCACTACTGCCCCTGCTGTTTGTGAGGTCATCAGGACAAGGATTACTATTACCGGGGCAATTTTACTGACGGGGAAAGAAGGTTCAAGGGGTCGGACACTTGCAGCCAGGCTCTCTGGTGGAGGGTCTGTAAACTGCCACACTCACCCCAGGCCACCCAACCTGTGGGTCTCCCTATAGCTCAGAAACCACCCAACTGCCAACGGCTGAGAAAATCACGATGGGAGTATGGCTGCTGGTCCCAGGCGGGGGAGACGCTGTGCCAAAGTGCAAGGGGGAAGCTCAGGGTACAGCCAGGGCTCAGGCAAAGGAGGGGCCGCAAACCTGGGGCTGAGGGTGAAACGCAGCCAGAGCTCCTCGGACATCCTGCTAACGTCAGTGGATGCTTTCTGGCAAGGAGTTTGAGAAACAAAGACGAACTCCAGAGAGGGCCTCCAATCAGCCCCTAGAACGAAATAATGACAGCAGTTATAATGGCCACGACTCGCTGTCTGTCCTCCGAGGGCCCGGCTGGGGCTTTTCAGGCAATGCCGCGTGGTGGGTGCTGCCACCCCTACTTTACAGAAGAGGAAACTCCAGCCCAGACGAGCACGGGGCCTAGTCCCCGCCTCCCTCCCAGCTAGCGAGGGGCCCAGCTGGGGCGCGAACCCAGTTCCAAAGCCCCTGCTCTCTGCCACGCCCTCAGTGAGATCCAGATGTGCTTGGCTCAGACTCTGCAGTCAGCTGCAATCTGTTAAGCACGTGCCTGCAACAAATGTTAGTATCATGATGACTATAGTGAGGAGGCTATTCCATTCGGACTCCACGCTCGCAAGGCTGGAGAACCATGGGTGCCATCTGGGCCTCAGCGCAGCCTCTTCTCCGACACGGTCTAACACTGAGAGTGTGAGTGTGTGTGTGTGCGCATGTGTGGTGGTTGGGGGCACAGCACAGCGAGGTGCCCCCGGCGTGCACGAGCCTGGAAACACCTTGGCCCAGAGCCTTCTGACTGAAGACCTCTTGGCTTCTGTGCTGTTCCTCTCGGCCGACTCCCCGTGGGCAGCCTGGAGGAGGGGGTATGCCTTCCCCAGTCCTGCAGAAGTTCCACACAGCTCACAGATGACCCTTCTCCACGTACCTTCCCATCGCCCTGCTGTGGCTGGCGGTTGCAGCAGAAGCTACTCTGGAAGCCTGGCCAGGGGCTGGTCACGGGTGGTGTGCAGCCCCATTTTCCTCAAGTGCAAGGTGAGGACATGTAGGACGAGGACTGCTGTGTGAGGGCGGCCTCGGTGCCAGGAACTGAGCCAGGCGCCCTGCACACGGGACTCCATGCACTCTCGGCACCCCCTGCAGGAGGCATGAAGACTCTCGGGAGCGCGCACAGGGGCCGCCCTGTGTGACTCAGAGCCAGGGAGGGAGGGCCTGGGTTCGCACACGTACAGAACCCTCACTCTCCTTCTTGGAGGACGCTGAACCAGTCACTTTCCACAGCTCTTGAGCCACTCTTATCACTTTAAGAAGTTTCCAGGAAATAAGTCTGAGGCCTAAGGGAGCCCTAGATCGACACATTAACCAAGCTTAGAAATAACCCACCTGTCCAGACCCTATCGCATACTTTCAGCAGCGCGCTATCAGCTAAACTAACAGAACAAAGGCCGATGGCTTTGCTGCAGTCAGAAACACAGTGGAGACCAGTTTCTCAAACTGTGTTCCTCCCAAAGGTTCTTAGGCACTTGCAAGCTGCCAGTGTACTAAAATTGCCTTCAGTTTAGTAACTTTTTTAAAAAACCTACTTATTTTTCCTAGTTATAGAGACAAACTTCCTCTTTGCAGTGATAACTTGTAAGTGAAAGCCAAAATGTCACAGAAGGCGGCACTGGGTCTTCAGGTGAGGCCTCTCTCTGAGGCTGCCGATGTAGCTGGGGGCTCTGCTGCGCTGTTTCCCTTTCGGGATGTAAAGAGCCCACGTGAGAAAGCCTGCAGGGTCCAATTGCTCCAGGTGCCCAGGTGTTCCCACAGTCGTGAAAAGCCTGCCAGGCTCTCAGGGTTTCTTTCCCTGAATCCCTGGATTTCTACAGGTCAGCAAGGCGCTCAGACCCTCAGGTGCCCCCAGGCCAGGGGAGGCAGCAAGAACTCACAGGGGAGGGGAAAAGCCACCCACGGTGGAGTCGGAAACACTGGCAAGTTTGAGATGGTTTATGCTGAGTGTAAATCTGGGCCTGTTTAACAGAATGAGACAGGGCTGTGTGTCCTGCATGAGCCTCAGGAAGAGAGAAAAGCAGAATATACCCAGATGTAGCTGTAAAATGTTACTTCGCACACTTTTGAATTATCTGGATTCTTTTCAACAAACGTCTATCACTGCACATCACCGTGTGAAACATGCAATTGGAGGATGGCTGCCTCTGAGAAGGGGGAGAAGGGCGGGAGACGGAGGGGGCTCCTGGTGGCTTTAGCTTTACCTGAAACGGGGTCCTTCTGAAGACAGACTTGGAAGCAGCTATGACAAACTGTCAACCAGTTACCTCTGCGTGTCAGTGGGACGCGATGCCTGTTATACCATCCTCTGCATCTTCTGTCCACTGCGCGAGCCGACGTGCTCGAGAAGCCCCAGCCACCCCATCCTGAGCTACCCAGGCACGGGAAAGCGCTTCTTCTTTGGATAAAAAGCAGAACGCAGCCATCATGTGCTGAAGTACAAATTTAATAAAGCCTTTAGCAAGTTTTAATCCATAAGTTATCTATGAAAACAAAAAAACCCACAATTTTTTAGAGCCATCAAGAGCCGTCAAGGTGTCAGTGAACACCAGCTATAAAAGAACAGTCAGTGTTTTAGATAGTGCAATATTTCCAGCTGTTGAAGAGAAGAATTTAAACAAAATTACAAACTACCCTTCCTCGTCCAAAACCAAAGTTGATGTTGGTGCTTAGAACCCACCCTCTCCCCAATCCCACGCTGGCCGATTCTCAGGTAATAAAACTAGGATGGGACCAAACCCCCTCGTGCAGGCTGACAACTATTTAGGCCCCAGCGGAAATGCACAAACCTGCTCAGGGTACACACACACCTTCAGAAGAGATCTCCAGAGGAACTGAGCATTTAAGGGAAGGGGCAAATCCATGGAATCAGAGGGTACTAATGAATCTTAAATAATAATAAGTTCCTGTCTGTCTTTAAATGCCCTGCCAACTTTCCATCAAAGTAAAATGGACACTGTTCTCCAGAAGTCCAGGGGCTCTGAGAGAGCCAGGCTTGGAGGCGGCAGGACACTGGTGCCCAGCTGAAAGCCTCTAGGGGAGGATGGAGATGGGCCTTGGCCTCCTTGCCGCCAACAGGAAGGTTCTTGCTGGGGGGGGGGGGGCGGGGAGGGGGTGAGAAGAGAGCTGTAAGCCCTAAGCTGGCACACACAGCGGGGGAGGGACCAGGCACTCCCCGCTTCCATTCTGGCTTCAGTCTTGGTGGTGGGGATGCACAGGGAGGGTGAGGAGGTGGGCGAGGGTGGATGGCGGTCAGTATAGACCACCAACATGGCCTTTGCCTCAATTCCCTGGATCTAGAGTAAAGTTCTCATGATAAAGGTAAAGAACAAGGGCAAAAGAGTAAAACGGGCTAGAAGAGAAAATGAAGTAAAAACAAAACAAACAAAAACAGCCAACCCAGAGGGCATGTGAGTTTCCTCAGCCGCACGAGCGTTCGGCAGCGGGAAGGGATGCCAGATCCCCTGTGCTGAGGAAGGGCGAGGAGCAAGACCCCAAGTTCTCGGGCTTCTGCGACTACGGAGTAAAGCCACTTCCCCGACGGGAGAGGCTCCTTCCACTAGTGTTTGTTCCTGACTAGATAAGAGGCAGGGCGAACAAGCAGGGGACAGGCAGCTGGCCCCTCAAGAATCAGCAGGCTTTGACTAACAGCCAGCACCTTCTGGAAACGGAGCTGCTCTTCAGGGCCAACAGGTTTTTTCTTCCAAACCCAGGATGCCAATGTGAATGCACAAGGTGGGAACAAGCCAGTGGAGGCCCCCTGGCAGCTCAGCCTGCCGAGGACTGAGTATCTGAGAAGGGGCACTGCCGCTTGTGGAACGGGTGGCTTCGAGGTGGGGGCAGCACCCAGAACTTCCTGTGCCCCACGGCCTCCCCAGCAGGCGGCTCTGCTTCCCTGGGGCGTAGGTGGGCCTGGCTGCCTGGAGCGAGGCCACTGTGGACGGAGTGGAGGCCGAGACTCTGTCGGGTGCATAGAGGCTTGGAAAGGCCTGACCTGAGTAGAGTTTTCAGAAATGGAAGGAGCGCGTTGCAGTTGCACGCACAGCAGGCTTCGTGCTCTCAGGCCCACGTCATGAAAACTGCTCTGGGCCTTGGAGTTCCTGGGACTCGTTCATGCACAGCTCTCTCAGAGAGTTAAGGAAAGAAGACGACTCACAAAAAGGCCCGACTATGGAGAAGAGAAGCCCTCTGCACTCCCGGCCTGGGCTTCAGGCCACTGGAAAGGAGGAAACAGGACCAATGCTGGCAGGATCTGGAGGTTTATTTTCAACACCCCCTTCCCATTAGTGTCACCTGGAGAAGGCTGTGTAGAGTTGTCAGGTGCGTCCACAGTTCTTGAGGCCACAGGGGAGTCTCATGGCTATAGAGAGGGTCTGGGGGCCGCTGTCACTTGGCATGTCAATCACACTCCCAAGGGAACACTGCCTCCTGGAGCTGAAGGTCCCTGTAGCCCGGGAGCCTGCAAGGGCAGGGGGGCAGGCCCGGGGCGGGAGCTAGGAGAGCTCGAAGCCCGTGTTCATGCTGATGGCGTAGCGCAGCTTCTCCCGGAGGACGCTCTTCTTGCTGTAGTTGGGCAGCTTGAGCAGGTTGAAGCAGGTGGAGGAGGTGGGCAGACGGCCGCCTGGCTCCCGCTTGCGGATGGTGAAGAAGCCCCGGAGGACGCTGCCCAGGGTGTCCCCAGTGTCCTGCAAACACATACCACAGCCTCAGGATAGGAGGTGCCTGGCATAAGCGCCTAGGCAGGTGCCAAAGAGGGTGGCTGAGGAGAGGGCCTGGCCAGCCCCTGGGTGTTAAGCAGAGAGTGGGCGCTGCCGTGGCACACCTGGCCTGTGAGCGGACACCGATGCCTGAGGCCAGCCCCCAAACTGGCCAACTGGCCCAAGTGGCCCTGAGGGGTGAGTGCACAGAAGCAAGCCTGGCTCCGCAGGTCTTACACAGGGGAATCCTGTATTAAGTGAGCGCGTGGAGATGGGGCCTCCAGTTAACTGCGAGTTATCAGTTAACCAATTTGCAAAGAGCCAGAATACTGTAAAAATACTTTAGGTGCCACTTCTGCATGCAGCCTGACACTGTCTCCCTGACCTCGCAGCACGGTGGCCCATGGCAGACTGTGACTCAGGGCAGCCATCCTTCAGTAAGGGGGCTGAGGATCATTAAGTGTCACGTGGGAAGAGGGATCCGGAGCCCAGACCACAGCACCCTGAAAGGCAGTCACATTCAGAGGCGACCGGGTTTTCATGGAGGGTGGCGGGGGTGAGACACCTTTAACAAGAGCGACTATCTGAACATCCCCACGCGGAGCCTGACAACCCCCAAGGCACCCCTTCTCCCTTCACAGATGAGGGCACAGAGCAGCTTGCCCACATGCGCGCAGCCGGAGGGTGGAGGAGTCTGACCCAAGCCCACGCCTGTCCAGTTCCGAAGCCCGTGTCCTGCCCCTCTCCCACACTGCCTCCCGGCCCTGAGCCATTCTAAACACACCCCAGGTACTCTCCCCTGTGGGAGTGGAGAGAAAGGGAGAGCTGAGGCCCAGAGCAGCCTGAGTCCACGGCACTCTCTGCAGAGCCAGCCTGCTCTCCTGGCCGGAGAACCGAGGACCTCCTACCCGGCTCTGAGGAGCCCAGCTGCCCGCTCTAGGGTGCAGCCTGGGTGAAGGTCCCACCTGGTAGGCACAGCAGACAACAACCAAGAGTGGTGAACCCCTCCCTCAGCAGCGGTACCTGGTCATCAGACACTTCGACACAGCGGATGGAGAACGGAGGCTTGAGGTAGGCAAATCCCAGGAGTGGGGGCCTGGAGCAGCTGGTCACAAACTGCAACACAAGGCAGGGTCGGGGGACAGAGTGGGGCTCTCGCTCCCTCAGAAATGGGCCCTTTACCAGTTGAGCTGTGCTCTTTAGCTTTCTCCAGTCATTGCATCATTCATTAACTGCTGTTCAGCAGGCAGGATGCATACAGGGTGCATTTGGCCCAAGAACTGGTACTCGTCTCACATCTCTCTTAAGGGTGCTGCTCTCTGGGGCTAAAACACATGAAATCCACACCAGCTGACATGGCTAATCACTTGTGGGAGTCAACCCAGGGGCTGATGGAGCACGTGCGGCTGAGGAGTTCAGGAACCACACAAACTCCCCAGCGGGGACTGCTCTCCAGTGGGACTGCCATGCAGGCAGCAGGAATCACAGCTGCTGACTGACACCGTTCCTTAAGGCGATGCCATGCAATGAGAGCAGCGGAGAGGAGAGGGTGAGGTAGCAGCTGGTGGAGCCACTGAGTGTGGCACGGGAGAGAGGGCTATGCCAAGAGCTGAGGGCCTGGAGCCAGGACACAGGGAGCCCTGGTGCGGACACACCACCAACTGTACTCACTCACTTTGCACTGGCTTCCTGCTCAGCTTCCTAGCCACGCAGGGGAGGAGGCGGAGGGGTGCTCACCTGGGCACCCTGGCCTGCTGGTTTACAGAGCAGTCTGTGAGCTGGGCTCCTGGGGGCCCTCTCTGACAGACGAATCTGCTCTCAGCACACTGAGAAGAATCAGGCCTCGGGAGCCAGTGAGGTGGAGGGGCAGACCCAGGTACCAGGCACCCCAAATGGGGCCCAGGGGCAGCCAGCCACACTTTCCTGCCACACTCTTAGAATTCCTTGCATCTTCCAGATGGCAGCACCTGTGTTCTTTCCCCAACTGTGCTAGCTCATGCCTGGACAGAAGCATGTGACCAACCTGGAAACCCAAGTGACAAACCTGCATAGGAAAGTCCTGAGAAAGCATTCACTTTAATTCAGTGTTAACCAAAAATGCTCTCCCTTCCCTAGGGGATAAAGGGATCGGCTACTTACGACATGAAACTGTGCTTTACAATTCTGTGGCAAGTTAAGTGTTTGGATCTTAAAATAAATACTACCATTTAAACAACGGTATAACGGTTGTGAGATTCCTGAGACCATCCAAAGACAATTTATGTGTGTCATGCTTCAAAAATAGTTTTTACAAAAAGCATCAACAAGATACATTACTGTCCTACTATATTTTATCTTCCACCATAAAAACCACAGCAGCAGCTCCTACTCAGAAAGCACTGCAGTTTCCACACCGTGCCGAGTGCTCTGCGAACCTGACCTCGTCTAACCACTCCACAGATGCTGTGGGATTCGACCGGTTTTCAGGAGGAGGAGACAGATCCAGAAGAGTCTGCACACATCCCAACTCAGGCCGCTCAGACGTGCTGCCTGCTGCAAGCCAGGGCTGGTCAAAGAAGGGAGGGACACTTTCACCCTCCCGGGACAGGAGGAACGGAGGGCACGGGAACCCTCCGGGTGCTCTGCTGTCACTACATTTAAAGAAAGCACAGTCAGAGCCACTCCTGTGCAACAGCGCCGTGTCCTGCCCCGGCTCGGGGGCCTGTCTGAAGCTGTAGAGATGGGCAGGCACAGGACAAGGAACTGCAGGTTTGGTGACAGGCTATCTAGGGACACAAATGCGCCCACTGTGAGGGGCAACAGCTGCACAGTTGGGAGACACTGGCTTGCCTCTCTTCCTAGCAGAGGCAGGGTGAGTGGTTTTACAGGCTGGCAAAGACTGCGTTGCCTACAACAGGCACTGCTGGAAAAACCAAACCGACTCCCGTGAGAATCAACTTCTGGAATTACATCTGTCTGCCAACCCCCCGAGTTCCTCGAGACCCGCAGGGACGACTAGTGCGTTTCTGTATCTGTGGACGGCAGTGAGGGCCTCCTCCACGGGAAGGATCTCTCCTCAGAACAAGCCAAGGAGAAGGAAAACCGCCGCTATTTCAACTGGAGGTGATACTGTCCACGTTGCCTCAACAACTGAGGTCACGTGAGACCATTCTAGAACCCAAATGTCCAAAGGAAAATATTCCGAGGCGCTTAAATTTACCCCCTTAATATGGCAAAGTATTCATGATAAAATATCAAATAGAACAGCAGGTGGCAAAGTGATATGATTCTATTTTTACAAACATATATACACACATAACACGTCCAGACAAGTGTGTGTCATCCAGTGTCCTATAAAACACTGTGTCGATGTCAGTAACAAAAAACAACACAGCGGCATGGGGGAACATTTTGAACCTTTACAACTTTAAAGACACCAGCACAGGAGCACTGGTTAATGTCAGCAACTCTATTTGCAAAAATATCCATTGCTATCAGCCTACTCGATCATATGTTTCACTGGAACATGGTGTGTGTGTGGTGTTGCATGTTTCACACTATTGAGAAAAACGGTACACAGAGGTAGTCCCTGGTGAGTAGGGACGGAGAGTGTTTAAAAGTTTGCTTGTCTGTATTTTCTTAAGTTACCTTACGGTAAGAAATACCATTTACTTCTACAATGAAAGGAAAAGTAAGAAACAAGATGTTAGCTTGAGCAATGACTGGATAAAGAAGATGTGGTGTATGTATGCAATGGAATACTACTCAGCCAGAAAGAAGACAAATTCATCCTATTTGCAACAACATGGAAGGACTTGGAGGGAATTTTGCTAAGCGAAATAAGCCAGACTAAGAAAGACAGACACCAGATGATTTCACTCATATGCGGAATATAAACAAACACATGGACAAAGAAAACAGTCAGTGGTTACCAGGGGAAGGGGGCTGGGGGGTGGGCACAGGGGGTGAAGGGGAGCACCTATGTGGGGACAGACAAGAAATAATGTACAAGTGAAATTTCATAATGATGTAAACTATTACAAATTCAATAAAAAAATAAATAATAATTTTAAAAAGTAAGAAACGAGATGTTGCAAGGCCAGTAGCAGCAAACTGACGAGAAGTGCTGAGCCCCACAAGCATGCCCGCCCACATAGGCCTGTCTCTCAGAGGGGTAAGCGGCGGGCTGGCAAGCTCACAGGCTCGCCCTCACCTCGAGCTCCTCTCTGTTACTGCTTTACTGACTGGGTAGGCCTGTCTATGGGAGAGGATGCTGACAAGATGCGGTCCCCTTGATAACTTTATTTCTTCCCCAGTGTAAATTATTACATCGCTGGCCTTCTAGGTTTATGAGACTATCTATGCATGCATGAAAGCATTTATAGGTAACATATAAAATACCTTCAGAAACATTGCTCTCTCGTCGGGCGTGAAGTCAGAGGCCAAAATATCCCAGAGCCAGATAATGACCCTGTGACTTCCATGAAAACCGCCGTAGTACACTGTGTGTTTCCTGAAAACAAGCCAGACAATGAGCTCAGCCACACATGCTAACAGGTGCTCACATACACAGGAAGGCACAGAATTTAGACAAGCAGCACAGCAAACTCCAGCAGGCCGGGCAACTACTAACTTCCGGTAAAGCCAGAGGTTCGTGCCTTCGTAACCTCACACCCCTGGAAGCTAAATGGGCAGAGAGTTCTAGAGCTGGCCCCACTGCTCCCAAGCAGAAGGCAAGAGGAGCTCCTGCAATACGATTTCTTGGAACTTCAGAGAGCCCTGCAGTCCTCAAGACCCTGCCATTCTCAGTCTCTAGGTAGACAAGTGGTTGTGCTTTTATCCCAAAGCAACTCACCCAGTCGTCAGGGAGGAGGGGGACAGGTGGAGACGGGCTCCTGAAACAACTCTCCAAAGGAACTCAGCAAGGGAGCAGCTGGTTCTAGGAGGCCTAAGAATTTCCCCCTCCCCCTCACTCGCCCCTTACTTTAAATCTTCCAGATCAATCTCAGCATTGTCACCGGAGATGAGACGCTGTAGCTCAGGGGTGGAGAACATCCGGGTCCACTCGGGTTTGATAATGGAACGGAATCCGCTAATGAGGGCAGCTGTCTGGTTTTTGATTTGAGTGTGCATCCGAAAATGTGCCATCAGATGAATGTAGCTAATTCTGTGGCCAACAAGAGAAAACAATGGAAATTAACAGGACAGGGGGCTGTTACCAATGGCTGAAAGATGAGTCCAGTCATTTCTGAACCATCTTACAAAAACACAAATAATAGCACAGCATGCCACCAGAATGATGGCGACGATGATGATGATGATGATGATGATGGCTCTCCTGAATGGCACGTGTGCCACTGTAAATGCGCTAAGTGTTCAAGGGCATCAGCTCACTCACTCCTCTCAAAACACCAGGGGGTCCTACATCAGGATAACACCCACTGGGTCAAGAATCAAAGTGAGACATTCTCCAGGTGAGGAGAGGACCCTTCCTAGTATAAAGGCACTTTCTGGACCTTTATTTAACTTCATTGTTTCAGACATAAACCAATTCAGATATAATTCAGTCCTCCAACAGGCTTTAAAGCAGAGAAAAATTGTTTCATGTTAAAACTTCAACCAAAGCCTTGCTAATCTGGACCAAGAGTCTAGGCCATGACAATGTGGGCCTGCAGCAGGTTTTCACCCAACGCAGCTGGCTTATGTTTAGGTTCACCTGGAAGTCAGAGCACTAACAACGTTCCTAGCAGAGGGACTTGTGGGTCTGCTTTTATGAAGACAAGGATCTCACCTACAACTGTATAACAGAATACAATTCTTTTGAACAGGTTAAATACATTCCAAGAGGCTCATTACCATCGCTGATTTCTTAGCAAACCATTTACTCAGAGATGGAAGAACTTGAGCCCGGCCCAGGTACAACTCTCAAAATTCCAAATTAGTACAGTTCTAAGTAAATCTCATTTACCTGACAATGCTTAGATCTGAGTTACTGACCTTGAAAATATCCCTATTTAAAAAAAATTATCCAGCTGCAAACTTGCACATTAATACACTTAAATACGACTTTTCCTATTATTGCTACTCCTTTCTTGAACTCTTCGAAGCAGATTACTGATACTGTTCCATTTTACCACAAGACAGGGAGTGTGGGAGACATTCTCCTTTAACATCTAGGAAGTGCAAGATCAAATATCACCCCTAAGGCGAGGAAAACTCGCGTTGCCAGGCCTTTTAAGATAGTCTGTAGAACTGAATACCTCTGCCTTATCCTGAGGTTTTACATTAAGAACATGGAAGAATTCGTGAAATGACTTTCTACAAGGAAGTTTCAAGGCAGAACAGGAATTTCACTCCAACACAGGGTGCATGGACCCACTTCCTCTGGCTGTTATATACACAGCTTCTACCATCAACCCTGTGCCATAATGCCTGGCAAAACGGGGCCATCTGAGGGTGGCCAACTCTATGTGACATGTCACATATCTGCTGATGGTGACAATCACTGCTCTCATTTCTTAAGGCCCTCCTTTGAGCTAGACATCCTGGAAGGTATTGTACGTGGGTTATCTCATGTGAAGCCCTCTGAAGAGATGGGTGCAGGGCACATGGCAGGCAGAAACAGGATCCACCCCTGCTCTCTGATGCCCCCAGGCAGCTCCTCCCAACCTGTGTTCTCTGTTCGTTCTCAGTTGTCAAACTAATGCCCCGTGGCCAAGAGTCAAAACCGGTGTATTTCAATCATGATGAGAGTTAGGTCTGTTCTTCTGATTGTTCTGGCAATCTAATAAAAGCTCCCCAAGCATGCAGACTGACCGGACCACTTGACCCGAGAGGGACATGATGCTCAGGAACATTGGGCTGTAATGCGCATCTGATCCAAATGACTCACCCAGCGGGACTGAGCTCTCACTTGTCATTGAAGAGAGCGATGCTCAGATTAACAGTTCAGATGCTCAGCTGAGCCTGGTGGCAGGAGAAGATTGATGGATTGACAAAAGGGCCAATATCTACTCCTCCTGCCAGGTTCTACGGTTTTAATTAGGTGAGAACAGGGCCAGGCGGAGACAGCGCATTGAGGGGTTTTGCTTCTAGGGACCAAAGAGGGTGACATTTATGATAGATTCCTAAAAGCCTGTTATCTGTGATGATAGCTGCCAGGCCTCAGAGTCTCCCCACGTCTAAGGACCCATCTGCTGCATTTGACTTCATCACCGTGTCTTCTCAAGAATCGTGTTTTATACAATTGTCACATGCTATCATTCCAAAATGATCTGCCCCTCCGAGGTGTCTTTCCGCCTCCGTGCCCTCTGGGTTCAGGACTGCGTGCCTGAACAGTTTGGAATCCATCTGTCTGCATCTAGAGCCGCCATTCAATTCCTGGGAACACTGCAGCTTGGGTGCCTCTGACCTTAGGAGTGCTACAGCAAAAAATAAATTGTCAATTCTTATTTTGCAAATAGAATTTAATACGATTTCAGCCTATGAACTGTAACCAGTAAATTCCATTATGATATTTATGGCCTCTTTCTACTTCAATCCATCTTAATAAATTCTCAAAGCAAGCCTGGAGAGCAGAATGAAGTCTTTTCAAGTGGTGGCCTTAAGAATCTAATTGCTATACTCACTTATTTTCATTGGTAACAGGGATGGTCTTCCCTCCAGGAACCAGTTCATGGCAAACCAGCTGGGGGAGAAGAGGGGGAGCAATTACTCAAGAATTCTAATGGGGAAGTAAAACCTCCTGAAGACAAAAGGCCCCGTCGCCAACAGCCATAATAATAACAGAATTAACATGGGCTATGTTTGGAAACAATCATTTTCACAAAAAGCCAGGGCTTAAATATCAATAAGCGGACCCTGCACAATCAATATGAATGGTTTCTCCTCATCCGATCCTTGTTTGAACATCTGTATTAAGGCTTCAGATGTCACGGAGGGGAACGTGTTCACATTTAAGAGCACAGAAGGATGGTTAAGGAAATGTTGGTACAACCACACCCTGGAATACTGTGCAGCTATTAAAAAAACATGAGGAAAATGTGTATTTATTGAAGAGGTGGGAAAAAAAGCAGATTATATAACCACATGCTTGGTATGGTACCATTTCTGGAAAAAAAAGAAGTTATATATGTTCCCAGGGAGAAAAACCTGGAAGGACACAGGCCACATGTTCACAACGGCACTCTCTCTGTCATCAGCATTTGGGTGGTTTTCATTTTCATCTTTATGCTCATACTGTAGCTGAATTTTCAGTTGAAGAAGTTTGCATTTCTCTTATAATCAGGAGAGGAAAATTAAAAACGTCAGGAGGAAGGCTCAAAATCTGATTAAAGATTTGAAAAGTATAGAATCAACTGCTTTCCTCAACTTCAAGAACTTCTGTGGGTCGCCTAAAAATCAAAGACTGTATAATTTTAATAGAAATTCTATTAATACAACATATGACAACTCTAAAAACATAGAAAGGAAGAACAGTGGCCTCCATTCCACTGCTATCAACATCCGGGGTACACTGGAGGATTTTAAAGCTGGGAGGGCCTTTAGGAATCACCCAGCCTGGTGTTTCCCATAAAAGGTTCCAGGGAACACCTTGCCTGTGAACTGGTAGGTGGAGACTCATTCTGTGAGATGGCATTCTCTCCTCTCTGAAAGAGGAGCTCTGTGATCAAACAAGCTAGGGAAAGCCGAGGTGAACACAGCCACACCAGGTTTCTTCCTCACAGGCTTCTCAGAGTCCCTATATGCCAGCGTGCTCGGTGGCTCTTCAGGAGGAAGGCAGGGCATGCAGGCGTCCACAGAGCCTCCAGTGACACTGGTCCCAGCAAGGACTCACATTCGGGAAATGGCACTTTCTGAGATAAGGAAAGTGGCTCAGAGAGACCGAGTGACTTCTCTGAGGACGCAGGCATGGCTCCAAGAAGCCAGCCCTGCACCAATAATCAGCTCACGGTGCGGCTTCTCCAGAGCAGTGCTCAGGCCACGCACGCAGAGGCTCAGGCAGGTGTCCACTGGGAGGCTACCGGAAGGGGCCGGGAGCATTTCAGAGAAAAGCTGAAAGGAAAAATTCTGGGAGGAAACACCTCTGCCACCACGATTTCAAGGGTCTCTTTCCCCTGCTCTGCTCTTTATGATGAGGACAAACAAGGACAGGCTTCTGTTAGAGGCACTTCTCGGGTGGCTTCTCCCATTTAAGCCATAATCCTCCGTTTGTAACAGCTAATCCTCACCATGGTAACGAAAAGCAGTGTTACAAATGCAGAGTTAGAGCTGCCATCAGGAATGACTCTACGTGCCCTCTAAGCAAAGCAGCGTCTCGGGGGGCGCTCTCCAAGGGGCGAGCAGGCAGAGGTCGGGTTGGCTGGGAACGGAAGGGAGAATGCCCTCCCTCCTGGCAAGGCGGGAGAAGGATGGCTGAGGGAGATGGAGAGGATGAGGGGCCAGACAGACAGGCTGACAGAGCTTCAGTCTGTGGACCTCCTGGGGAAAACACCAAGAGTGGGGCAGGTCTCAGGAAGTCCACCGAGGGAGGGCAAGGAGAGTTCAGCCACAGAGGCTGACCTACCTGACCCATCACATCCTCGTCGTACGACAGCGTCAGGCCCAGGTCAGAGATGTCCCCATCGTAGCGCTAATGCAACAGAGACGGGGAAAACATAAGGGCCAAGGAGCACAAGAGCCTTGAAGAATGTAAAGCTCCCCTCCTACGAGGTCTGCTTGGGCAGTAACCACTGCGGCTGCTTCAGCTTGAAGCAAGGAGAAAGGTCAGCCACCACCTCGAGGAAGGAGGCTGTGAGCATCAGTCCCGAGAGGACGTGCTCAGAAGGGGACGAGGGGACCTGCTGTGGCTGTGGGCGGGCCCCTTCCCTACAGCAGGAAATCTCATCCCACCACACGACAGGGTAAAGTTTGAACCCTGCGTGGCTTCACTCACCGTGAGCCCACACCAGCATTCGGTGAAGCCCTCCCGCCTTTCCACACTGACCTTAATGGAAGTGAGGTTTTTATAGAACTCTGAGTCCAGAGAGGGCAGTTCGTCCACAGAACTGTAGAAGACACTGTGGTGGTGCCCGAGCAGCTGGCTCAGGAAGAAGGACGCGAAGGGCACATCCACCACAATTCCCTGGGAGAGAGGAGACAGAGGCTTGCCCTCCACTGGCCAGGAGTTGGGCTTGCGGATCTCATCAAAGGTGGCTCTGGCTGCAGAGGGGCCCTGAGGGAGCTAATGGCATCTCTAGGCACTTCCTAAATTTTCAATCTGGAGAGCAATACTTGCCCATCATTTAAGAAACACAATCGAGTGCCTCCTGGGGGGACATTACAGCAGAGTGGCTAAGGGCACAGGCTTCGGAGTTACACAGCTCAGGGATCAAATCCCAGTTCTGCTGCTGCCAGGCCACGGGACATCGGCTTTCTCACCTGTACATGGGGACCAGCACAGCCCCTCAGTATTAACGATTAAATGAGAAGGGTGTGGAGGAACACAGAGGACAGGCTCTCACCTGGAGGCCGGCCAGGGGCAGCTTCCAGGAGGAAGAGATCCCTAAGCTGGTCCTAAAGGAGCACATGGCGTGCTCCAGGGCTGGAACACAGGTCTGCCCAGCCACAGCACAGGCTGTGAGGCGGGGGAGGCACACTCACGAGCCTCCTGGAGTCTGGACTCTACCCTGAGGGCAGCAGGGAGCGCTGGGAGGCTCTGAGCAGGGAAGCGCCAGATCCGAACGTTATGTGGGGAACGGCCAGGAGGAAGGCAGGAGGCCAGGATACAGCCAGGAGGCCGTGGCCTAATGCCAGGCACTGCTGACAGATTGTACCAGGTGGAGAGAAGTGTGCAGACTGCAGAGACTTAGAAGGGAGAGTCAAGCACCTTGATGATGCCCCGTCACAGACATCAGGAGAGAAGTGAGTTAATGCCAGTTGCCCCTCACACAGGGCCCAGGATGTCCTAACTTCTCTCATCTGTACTATTATTGTTGGAGAGGGAGGGGACAGAGACTAAGCCCAGGAAATGGAGGACATTCACAAAAGGGGAGTCCTGCTTTTCAGCTGGCCCAGACTGTTCTGGGTCTGAGTACAGCTACACGTTTAAAGGAAAAACACGGCACATGCCCAGGTAGGTCCCCATGGGATTTTTTTCGAAATGGGAATGAACTGAGATGTCGTCTCCATTTTGCGGATGTGGAACAGAAGCACAGAGAATGAGCCCAGGTCATCAACTGGTCCAGGGCAGGAGGAGGACTGGAGGGAGTCTGGGCAGGGACTCGGCTGGGGCACCTGACTTCCTCATGGCCAGAACTGAGGCTGTTAACACAGAGAGAACGGCGGATCCAGTATGTTGGCTCACATGGCATCCCTCCCTCAACCGCCAGGCTGTGGGCTCTGCCTATGGCAGGCATCCTGGTTTCCCAAGGGTTTGCGATGGGGTGGGAGATGAGTGCTGCTCAGGGGGCTCACATCCTTGGTGCCTGGGTGAGGGGCCTGGGAGAGCCTGGGCCCTGGGTAAGGTCCGCTGTGGCTCTGGAGCCCACTGTGAAGGCCGCAAAGACTGGCTGATGACAAGCACGTGCTGCGGCTTTCCTCCCTTCCTAGGAAGCGGGACTCTCAGAGCAGAGGGTCAGGGCCACCTGGGGGTAGTTCTGCCAGCTAGGCTCTCAGTGGAGAGGGACCAGGAGCTGTGTGGGCCTCACCCAGGGCCCGCACAAGTCCACTCTGCCCTGACTCCATGAGGCCAAGGAGCAGAAGCTCAGACACCCTTCCTCCTGATAACAGTGTGGATGGCAGTGCCGACTTCCCTGTTCCAGGTGCCAGGCACCGCCTGAGGCGTTTTACCTGTGTCACCTCCTTCACGCTCTACGGTAACTCGAGAACACGGCTTTTATTATCTGCACTTCACTGATGAGGACAGGGGCCTATGGAAGTAAGCGACTTTATGCGCCTCAGCAGACTCACCTTGACCAGCTGTCTGGGCTACCTCCCACCTCAAGCTCTAGTCTGCAGGCAGCTCCCAGGCGCCTCTGGCTCACTTCGAAGCACTCACTCAAATAATGACAAATTTTAAAACAACCGTAACAACTATGAAACTGCACCAAATGCTGCCCTCCTACACCGGGACCAAGCTCCGCTGTGGAGACCTGCTCTGCACACCGCTCCCAACCCCTCAGGGAAGCAGAGGGCTGGCTTAGACTCAGGCCAGCCTGGGTTCAAATCCGGGTTCTGCTGCTTTAACTAGCAATGAGACTTCTCAAAGTCTTGGTCCTCTCACCTTCATGTAAACAGGACAGCAACAGCCATGCCACAGGACTGCTGAGAGGATTAAATGAGGCAACACATGGAAGGCACCGAGTATTTCTGTCCAGTAGTCTTGGTTCCTGTCCCTCTTTCCCTGACTTGATCCTAATGACAGGTAGTTTACGTGGCTGGGCTTGAACACACGAATGTATATGAAGCCCATGGTACTTCTAACGTTTTATTTCCCATTCCAGTTCAACAGTCCTTAACACGCCTACCTCATACACGGCCTTCCCCAGCATCTTGCCCACAAACTCAAAGAGCTGCAGGTAGTTCTCATGAATGTAGGACGTGGGCGAAGGGTAGAGTCTCTCATCCCCACTGGTTGTCTGCAAGGCAAAACGGACGGGTAGAGGCAGAGAGGTTAAATGCTTTGTAACGAGCAAGCCCAGCCCTTCACTTCTCATTTGTCACCTCGCATTTGGCTACTGTCAATCTCGCTCTCGCTCCCCTTAAGTACCTTGAACAGATTGAGTGCCGGATCGAACACCCTCTTGATGATCTCTTCCAAGAACTCCTTGAAAACGCCGTCTTGATCAATCCCTGCCTCGTCCACCCCGAGGTCATTGACAAACTTCACGCGGATCACGCCCTTCATGGCGTGTTGGGAGAGCTGCCGAAGCTGCTCGTAGCCATCCTGCCGAGGGCAGAATTACAGCCCATTAGGAACACAAGGCCTTCTGCATAATTCAGGGCTCCCTCCTCAAGGCTCTTTCTCCCCTGTGTGAAGCTTTCCCAGTGTAATTACTAAATGTGCAAGTCAAGAGGCATGGGTGCATGAGAACAGTTCTCACTTGCTTTTAAACGCGAGTCTGTTAAAAGGAAAATTCATCACGGGGATGTGACTTCCCTGCTCTTTGATAAGAGGAGACTGCCCTCAAGAGGATGAAGAGCGGTAAGATGAGGAAATTAGACAAGATGAGTCATGACAAGCTCTCAGCCTTCAGAAAACGGATGGAAAAAAACTGGGACAAGATCTCATCCTCTCTATTTTAATGCTAAGAAATAAAGCTCATGGTAAATCGATCGATCAATGAAACTTACAGACGGCTACAAAATGACACGTAAAAGTACTCCTCACCCCTCAACTCGGGGCACCTTTCTGCAGATCACGAAAGGCCTTGTCAGTCACACTGAGGAATGCAGGTTATATCCTGAGGGCAATGGGAAGCCACAGAAGAGTTTAGGCAGGGAGTGACATGGCTGGCTTTCTGTCTTAAAAACATCTTTCTATTGGCAGCAGAGCAGACAGATGGCAGGGGACAAGGCAGGAAGCAGGGAGACGGGGGTACAGGAGTGATGTTGGGCCTGGATGAAGGCAAGAGCAGTGGGGAAGAGAAGCCTCAGCACACCTCTGGCGTGCAGTCAGCTCTCTCAAGACACGCAGCCATTCAGCATGTCCCTCTATCCAGAACTCCAGGACACAACTTTAGAGTTCTACTAAACCCTCTTGTTTAGTTTGTCTCTTGATTCTCATCTGTTGAGGTCCTCCTGGCTCCTGGTTCTGACATCTAATGTATTCCTAGCATGCAGGCGCTGATAAGCAGGCTGCTTAGGTTTTCATTTCTGAGCAGCGACTGTAAAAAATAGTGCTGAACAGGATAGGGACGAGGGAGGAGTCTCCTGGTCCAACATGAGAGGCCCCATGACCACGGTGAAACTGATATCTTTAGATGCTGTCACATAAGCTGCAAATCAAATCCAGTATCCTCTTGAGGCCACCCCACATTTCACCTGCTCAGTGCAGTGCTGTCAGACGATTTGCTAACACGAAAGAGACCATGTCCATAGCATCCACTTGTCTGCCAGTCTGGTCCCTTGTCACAAAGCAAATGAGGTCAGTATGGCAAGACCTGTTTTGGGGAACTCTTGCTGCCTTCCTGCCAATCCCACTTGCCTTGTGCTCACCTAGTGATCCAAAGGACTGTCCTATGGTGGCTCCCAACCTTATCAGAGGTTAGTCTCCAAAGCTAGAGAGCAAGGAAAAAATCACCTCTAAACTCCCCTAAGTCACCTGAAGGGAACAGGATCATGGTTTTGGGTGCACAGTCCTGAAAAGTACTTTTTCTGTACAAGAAGTTGAAAACCATTAAGTTAGATGAAAAGAAAGGAAAAACAGGAAGTCCCCACGCAGGTCCTGCAGTATTTAAATCATTCTGCCTAAACTTAAGATCATTATCTTGGCACTGAGTTGAGGATGGGGAGTGCTCCTGCTTGCCTGTAGGATTTCCTCCATCCTGCTTTAAAACGATGCCTCCCTAGCCATGATACACATTGGGAGGTGTGTTAGCATAGTGTTAGGATTAAGCGAGATGGTGTGCGTAAAAGTACCTACCATGCAACCCAGCACATGGCAGAGGCTCAAGGAATGCTTGCTGGAGTCAAAACTCAATTTTGCTTGACCAGCCCCACATCAGCCTCCTCTTTGAAAAGCTGTAGAGAGGAATTTGCCATTGGCCTCCTCTGACATGTTTCCTGTTGTGCCCTACTACCCTCGGGGCACTGGTGCTGGTACACGAGGATTCTACCTGCGCCCTTTGGGAAGGTGAGTGGGAGTAGGGCATTGCTCTTCTCTACTCCATCTCCACGAGTAGACGGAGAGAACAGTGACCTGGGGACAGGAGGGCTGGTTCCCAGGCCCAGCTCTGCCACTAGTACCCGAGTGACTTTGAGAATCTAAACCTCTCTGGCCTCAGTTCCGCCTCTGACAAGGCGAGGGGAAGCGGCTGGACAAGAGTACGTCTAAGGTTCCTCCCAGTTCTGAAATGCTACAGTTCCAGCCCCTGTTCCCCTGTGAGGAAGCCCTGTGGCAGGACGTTAGACTAACACCTGGCAGCCTAATACAGAAGCACGGCCTTCAATACAAACCAAACCAGAGGAAACAGAGTAAAAGCCCAGGATATCATATAAGTCTAACACCAACTTTTTGATGCCCCCTTGTGTCCAAATCAAGCAAAGGCCAGTGGGCTGTCATGCTCCATAAGCAAACCACCAGATCCTGAGAACAACTGGGTAACTGAATAACGATCTCTCCCCTTTCTAATTCAATGGAAGACCAGTGATCAATTTCACGACAAGATATATGCTAACAGAATGTAAACAGGAAAACGGACTTGCTTAAAACCTAAGATGGACAGCTCTCCTTTGACATCCCTGAGGGATGTGTTTTCAAAAGCAGGCTCAGGGTACCCAGGACACTGAGGGAATTTCCCATAATAAGGACACTGAGGAGGGAGGTGGGGATTCCATCACTCGCAGGAGACACCAGCTGACTTCCCACCGGTACCGGCCCCATCTGAGCAGGTGTGAGGCAGGGGATTGAGGACTTCAAGAGACAGGAGGGGTGTGTCCAGGTCCGAGGAGCAAAGTGCTGGAGGAGGGAGTCTCGACAACACAATTAGGCTTTGTCTTCTTTGAGCCAAAGCAGAGGTTGCAAACTGGTGGCCCACTGGGAAGGGAGGTGTTATGTGACCTTCCAGGTATTTTACACAATTTCATTAGTTCACAACACAAAACAGATCTAGGGATTTCATACAGAATCCTGCATTTTGGCCTTCTCTCAAAAAACCAGAGCATTCTGGTGGCCAAATGCCTACATGGCGAGAGTGAGGTGGAGCTGAGTGGAGGTGGCCTCTTTTAAGGGTCACGTGTTCTCCACTGCCCACCCCTCTCTGCTGCTCCCCAACACTGAGGCTGGCTGTCAGCTGTCACCCATCAACTCACTCCGGGGGGCTGCTTTTCTTCAGCAGTTACCTAGATGGAGGGCCGTGCGTCAAGAAAGCAGGAGAGAGAGCAGTGGAAGTGAAGAACATTCCTACTTGTTTAGCATGCAACAAGGTGCTCCTGCGCTGAGACACACTCACCAACTTTACTCTTTCCTGACCTGCAGGGTCCCTGTAGGCACTTAATTTCTTATTCTACTTTTAAGAATGTCAAAAACATCATCCGTGTACCACATGCTGCCTTTCCCTGGCAGATGTGTCAATCACTAGTGGTCGGGGGAACTAAAAGCAGCTCTCCAGGGAGGAGGACTTCAAAGGAGCCCCAAAGGAGACAGCGAAACTGTGTGGGCAGGAAGGGCTGCCACTGCCATTTGCTGGTGGCTGGCTATGTGGCCATGTGCTGTCCTGGGATCCCAAGACTGTCCTACACTGCACAATGTGCTAATGGAAGCATGGCTAGAGTGTGATAAAAGGTCCAAGGAGCAAGCACGGGCAAATAAACCAAGCCAAGCCTCTCCTGGGAATGAGGACTTGGGTTCAGTCACCAACTCCAGCACTGGCAAGACCAGCACAAATGGAGCAGGCTGTGCACTGCACAAGCCCAGGGGAGGGTGTGCACACACAATGCACACATCACAGGTACGTACATTTATTACGACAGTGTTCCAGCACGTTGTAGTCAGGGTCTTGTTCCAACAAAATCTAAACATTATGACACTTTTCTGCCATCCGGAGGTAAAGTGTTCTGAGGACAGATCCCTATTTCTAATTCCCATGAAGTCGCCACACAGTGGTAACCCTGGACACTGGCTTTGCTGAGGTGGGCCACTTCCTTTTTATCTGATGAGTGCGTGTCTAGAGACCTTCTAGCTCAGCCATAAATGCATTTCCCAGTAAGGCTCAGTCAACTTCCCGCCCACACTCCAGCCTCCGCATTCACAGCTGGCAGTCTGGGCGAAGTGCCTGCCAGGACAAATGCAGCTTGCACAGGCATGAGGACATCTACACGTGGCAGCTCCTGTCCTCACTTCAGAGAGGCACCAAGTGTGTGAGGCTCTAGCCCGGGCCCCAGGGGGAGAAGGAAGAGAAATATTGCGCTGCGGGTCTCTGGCCCTGAGGAATGTTTAATCAAGCAGCTCGCAGAGCGGGATGCAGGACAAGCTGTCCCTTTTCCTGCTCCCAGAGCCTTGATTTCAGTGTCCTTAGATCAAGGAGCGACAAGAAGGTTTGCAGAGCCCAACTCCTTGTGACAGGCTTCTCACCTCCAGCATCCGGGACCGTCGGATGGTAATGTGAATGACATGAGGGGAGGCCGAGCTGGTTTCCACAAGGCCCAGTTTCTCCTTCTCCTTGGTAACCATGTTTCGGAACAGGAGAACTCTCTGAAACGAGCAAAGGGGAGACCAGAAACAGGGTCAACAACTCTTAATTCCCTAAAACACACTGTGCAAAATTATTGAAACTTAAGTCACGGGAGAGGCAACCAGAACAGGACACTCGAATATGTGCTACAGGTGAGAACCGACTCGGGGGCTTGGGGGAACAGTAGACACTCCCCAAAAAAACTCTTGGGAATTAGAAATAGAGCTGAATACATGCCAAGGAAGCAAGGTTCCAGAAAGAGTGGTCTGGCAGCAGCTAGAGTCTAGCTAAGAATAGTCTAGGAGAAAAAGCATCCTCCTCATTCAGTCAATAATCCACCGTAAAAACCCGGCAGCAAGACAAGTTACAGGGACTGCTTTACAGAGTCGTGCCTGCTTCAAAGGAAATCGATATTATGAATTTAAAAAACAGAAACATTTCAAAGATAATTTTTTCACTTGTAAGAAATTTTTAAAATGATCCTACAGAATAAGGGTCCCTGACCCTTCCTCTGCCTCCTCTGTGCCCTCAAGCACACCCTAGTCCCACTAGTAATGTTTCTTAATTATTGTCTGAAGACATCCCTCTCCCCATTTGAAAGACTCTGATGAGCCCCTTTAGGAGGGCATGACCCTCTGCCCCATCCTAGGTTTGAGAATCACTGCCATAACAACACTCAAATAATGTCCGTTGAATGAACAAAGAAATCCAACTCAGCTGTTTTTTTAAAGAATGGGAGCCTCCTGCATAGTCAAGAGCTTTGTTAAATACAAATAAGTACGGTCATAACAATAAGAATAGCAATGAGGGTTAACTATATATGAGGGGAGACTAGTGCATTTTCATTTGATCATTTTTATTAACCCTGTGAAGTAAATACAGTTGTAACAGAAAAAGCAATTGCCAACATCCTCCCAAGAAGAAGGAAGGATGGATTCAGTGGAGGGGCTATTGTTTGGTGAAGCAGCTCAGTGTGGCTGGTTCATGAGTCTAGAAACAAGGACTGAAGTGCTCTGAATGGTATCAAAAGACCGTGGGGATGCAGGGCAGTGGGGGAGGGTGAGAGCAGCCCGAGAAACAACCCAGGAGGCCATGGTGCAGGTGAAGGGCGCCCCTGCCTCTCCCTTCTAGGGCGGGGGAACCGGCGGGGGAACCAGAGACTTTCACAAACAACTATTTAACTTGTACGGGGCCATGTGGCACGACTGCTTCCAGCGACCCCAGATCTTCAGCATGATCACCTGAACAAGGGGTGTCATTTTATGAAACACCATGCAGAAGATGAGCTTCACATCTAGGTTAATCCAGTATGGGGCAGAGACAGCATACACAGAAGCAAAACTGGGAAGGCGACCACGAGAATGCTGGTCTCTCAGGAATCAAGGAAAGGCTGGATGGGGCTCTGGATTTCCATGGGATGTGGAAGAAGGTTTGGGGCAACCTTAACCAGCTCTCAAGAGGTGGGAAGACCTCAGCGACCACGGTGGACATCTGGGTAAGGATCATTATTCCCATTTTGCCGTTGAAGAAACTGACTCATCCAAGGTCACACAGCTGGTAGGCAGGGGGGCCAGATTCAAACCCAGAGCCCATGCATGAACTACCACACCACACAGCCCCTGCCCACCCCACAGGGTGCTAGCCCTTCTAGGCCAAAAGAAGAGGGAGAGACCTTAAGTCCAGTCAGGAGATGAATTGCACATAAGTGAGCAAAAGCAACATAAGAGAGTGCAGAGAATGAAGTGCTGTTTGTGAACCAGGTAGAGCCGAGGCTTTAAAAAATGCTCAGCAAAGCGAGAAAGGCACTATAAGCCACCCACTGGAGTGAGATCAAGAACGAGAGAGAGGTCCAGCATTTAGGGCACGTGGCACACTGGCAAGAGATGAAAGAGAGAAAGCAGGGCTGGAGAGGGCCTATCACCTCCCGCGTGCTCCGGTAAGAGTGTGTCAGCAGGAGAGGGGAGAACCCACCCCATCAGAGGGGAGTGAAACCCAACACAGGAGACAGTGTGAGTGCCCTCGCCGCTCTGACACTCTCCCAGACCTGCTGGTGCCCTCACAGGGAGCAGGACAGGCCAGGAGATGAGGAAGGGCCCAAGGGAGGGGAAAAAAGATTTTATGAGCCAAGGACAAAAAGCTCAGGTGGCAATCTTAAGCACAATTCCCAAAACAAAATAAATGGTGAAGACTAGAAGACAGCCTGGACTCACAAGTCATGCTAACTAATCTCAGGGGTTCCCAAGCGTGCTTGACCAAGGCATCCCTAATGGCTCAGTAATTATTTTCATAGCACTCCTAGGTCAAAAGAAATACTTAACAGTTCCATTACTAGGCAGTCTGAGTCCTAACAATTTAAGTATTTATGTGCTAAGAACTTAGAACTGTATTTAGAAATACACATACACCGAAATAAAGACTATTTTAACTTCATTATTAAAATCCAGCTTAGCAAATATGACATCATTGAAAAGCACACTGAAACTGAACTTGAGCTAGGATTTCACATAGTGTCCAACAGATTTCACTGTGTTCCCCTCAAACACCTAAAATATTCCCGTGGGAACCAGGGGGCCCCAGCACGGTTCGTGAACTGCAGACACACAGAGTGGAGACCCCAGACTGTACGCTAGGGGAAGCCCACGGTCCAGGGTTGAATTCACAGACACACAGGCCCGGGACGAAGGGCTGCATCTCAAGTCAGACTCCAGCATACTGGACCAGGCCCAGCGGATGAAGGGCTGGAAACACTTTAACGAGGGATGGCTGGAGAAGGGAAGGATGCCACCCTTGGGCACAGAGGACGCAGAAGGAAACAAGAGTTGTCTGCAGATCTCAGATGATTAGAGATTCTACTTTCAGTGGCTGTTCAAGGACCAGAGGGTAGAAATTACAGAGAAGTAGATTGGCTTAAGACAAGGAAGAACGTTCCATCATTGGGAAGAGTAAAGCAACAGAGTGGCCTGCTTTGCAAAGCTGTGCATTTTCTCTCTGAGGCGAGGTCAGGGACCCTGTTGAGGGGCTGCCTCGGCACGTCTGACTAAGTCAGCTCCACGGGGTCCCTCATTTCTGAGAGGTTCTGCTGTCAGGAGCAGTAAGAATTTAAACAGCCCCATCCGTTTGTGAATCACTGCTCGAAGGTAAAGAGTGGCAACCTAAGTATTAACGTCAAGGTCAAAACAACATCCGAGAGCCGTGAGCAGTAGGTATCTCTGAAGAGTGAGATTTGATTTACAAAGCTGTGACATATGCACTTTTCTGAAAACGTCTATTCTGTCAAAAAAGAAAAAAGGAAAGGAAAAAAGGGCACATCTAGACCTGTAAGAGCCTCCTTTGAAGGAGCGCAGTATTGTTCTGGCATCCAACAGACACGTCTGGGGTGCCCATGCACAGAGGGACGTGAGCAGTGCTTTCTCTCAGCTCCTGGACGCTCTTGCCACAGCGCCTGAGCCCTCCCAAGTCTCTCATGTCCCTGGGGTCTGTGACACCACACTGCTGGTTTTCTTCCTCTGATGACTCCTCCCCTTGTGCTGGCCCTTTAAAGGCCCTGTCCTGCAGGGCTATGGCCTCAGTCCCTTGTCCTCTCACTCCATCTGGCTCCCTGAGCACCTTGTCCATGGCCAGGAACGCGGTTAGGAGATTTAGGTACTGTCCACATGTAAAGTCTATCTCCAGGCGACCCTCTCTCCTGAGCTCCAGACCCAAGTGTCCAACGGCCTCGAGGAGTCACAGACACCTCACATGCTGCCTGCTCAAAGCCGACCGCACCAGCACTTCAGACCTACTCTTGCCTGTGCTCCCAATCAGCAGATGGCTCTGCCAAGCACCCTGGCACCCAAGCCAGAAAGCTGAGCATCACCCGAATAACTCCCTTCATTCTCCAGTAAACGTCATCATTCTCCAAGGCCTGTAGGTGCTACTCCTTCAAAGCCTCTTCACCTTATGATGTCTCTACCCCGTGGCCTCACCCAAGTCCAGGGCAGATAGCTCTAACACCTCCGCCTCTAGCCAGTCCTCCACACCACAGCCAGAAGGAACTTTCTAAAGCAGAGCTCTGACCCGCTGTCTCCAAAACTGAAAACTCTCCAATGGCTTTGGACAAAATCTAAGCTCCTCCCCTTAGTTTACCAGGCCCTTCTTGTCCCAACTCCTACAAACCATCCAGCTACTTGACTCCCTCCTTTGTATTCCCTCCAGTCAGACTGCAGCTCTGGCTCTCTCACCCCAGACCTTTAAACACTGTCCACTTCTGCCTATGGGGCCTTCTCCTGACCCCTGCTCCTCATTCCCAGCTGGGTTAGGTTCCCTTGTCTGGGTTCCCACAGCACCCGTCCCTGTGGCATCCATCCCACTCTGCCTGAATTGCCAGTTCATATTGTCCGCAATCTCTGTACCCCCAGTACCTAGCCTAACGCCTAAGAGAGTAAGACCCAATCACCATGCGCATTTGCTGAACGAATGGTCTCATTTATTTATTTCCAATGGCTATAACAAAGACGGAGAGTCAGGAACCATATGGTGGAACAGAAAGACGCTGCAGGAGCCCAGTCCCGAGCACAACTCACGTTTTTGTGAGGAATGACGTGAGGGATGTACTGCAGGATCAGCTGCGCCCGCTTTCGGTCCTTGTCGAGTTCTTGGAAGAGCACACTAGGTTTGAGATCCCTTAAAAAGAAAGACACGCGTTTGGGATAACTAAAACAAGAAAACCGTTCTCCAGTGCTGGGTAGCAAACTAGAGCCTGCTGCCTGTTTGTGTAAATAAGGTTTCACTGGAACACAACCACGCTCATTCATTATGTATGGACGATGGCTGCTTTCACGCTACACCGGCACAGCTGAGCAGTCACAACAGATTGTCTGGTCTGCAAAGCCTAAAATATTTACTGTCTGGCCCTTTACAGAAAAAGTTTGCCAGTCCCTGCTGTAGTGCCACAACTTTAAGGGTTGCCTAACAGTTGACAAGCCATTGATAAAAAAACACAGACATCATCTTATGCTTACTTGTTACAAGAGGATTTCCCAACCCACCCCCCAAAAACCTGGCTGTAGTTTTTATCCTGCTAATTCTGCTGATAAAAACTGCCATTTAACTATCATAACCTGTTGCTCAGTTCAGATGAAAGAACTTTTCTTCCCAGTTTGGGTAAGAAACATTTGCTAAATGTGATCTGGCCTTGTTACCACTAATGAGCTGTAATCATCTTCAGTGTCAGCTCGTCTTATGAGAAGCGGCGGCTGGATGACCTGTCCTCACAGGTGCTTTACAGCAGCAGCCCTCCTGATGCAGATGGAGGAGGAAGGAGATAGACAAACTCCCCTCTGCCCTAGAACACGAGCGCAGAGCACCTGGGCAGCTCTGCTGCCAGAGCGTGACAGAGGGGACCTGGCTTCCTCACATCCTTTTCCCCCTCCTGGTCCTCACTTTCGCAGCCAGTGGTCATCGGGGGCGAAGCGCCGCCGGCAGTCCCGCTCATACAGCACCATCAGCCAGCCGTGGACGGACTGGAAGAGCTCCAAGGTCTCGCCCTTGGCATTCTCTGCGGGGCAAACAGGAGAGTCACTCACGGAGCTGATCAGAACCAGGGGAGTTCGGAGGACAGCCTCTTGTCTCCTCCCATCATCATCATCAAGTCTCACCAAGGTCTTCACCTCCTTCACTCCGGATTTTACATGCAACTAATGGAATTAAAAGGCACCCTGGGTACGTTCCAAGTGTCTGCAGGACTTGAGTATCGCTTAGGACAGAATCACTCCTGTTGTCTCCCATTAGTGTGTCATCCAAAGGACCTTTTAATCTAAGGAGCTTTGTCCTGAACAATTGGAAACACTTCAGGAAGTGAACTCTAATTTGAAGTGTGACCTGGCACATGCTTTATTTTCATGGAAATCAACTCAAAGAATCACAAGGAGATTCAGAGCAAAAACTAATCATCAGTAATAATCCTTCACACATACATGGAAATCCTGAAGGATGCCTGGGAGATTAAGATTCCCATAACCACACTACTATCTCAGGAAGTCAGAGAGAGAGAGTGAAGAAATAAATCTTCCAATTACATGAATAAATGTGCATTTTTGATTAACTCTGATAGACAACAAAGCTAAGAACCAGTTGATGTCACAGACCGTGGTGTCCCTACGTGCAGCATCAATTACATGATGGCTGACATCGTCACCTTACCTACGATTCCATCCCAGATCATCTTAAACACAAAGGAATTCAGAAAAGAGGAGATGGTGACCAGCTCTTCCAGTTTGAATGAAATTTGTTCTTCATAAACTTCAATGTCATCAAGGATCCTAAATCAGACAGAAAATTATTCACAATTTCCCACTGAGAAAAAGGGAAAAAAATGAGATCTGTATCTCTTACTAGACAAAAATAAGGTTAAATAAGCTCTTTTAGATAAAATTTACAGATAAAATGACATGATTTCCAGGATATGCTTCAAAATAACCTGGGAGAGGAGAGCCGGTGGGAGTATAGATGAAGCAAAAATGGCTATGAGTTGACAACTGTTGAAGCTGGGATGGGCACATAAGCGGTCATTATACTATTCTCTCCACTTTCTACTTATTTGAAATTGTCCATAGTAAAAAGCTAAAAAACACAATTGAGGAAGGAAAAAATAATAAGCTCGACCCTGTATTTTTCCTATTCCTAAGGCTCTGGCTGAGAGACTTTCTTAATTCATGCCTGAACATCAGGGAATCTTGATTGAGAGTCTCTGTCTACTGAGGAAAGCTGTGGAATCTTATTCTGCACCTACAACAGACACTAGTGCCACTTAGTAGGTACTGAGAAGTATTTATGAGTGAATGAATAAATGTCTGAAAGAATATATGAATAAATGAGCCATTTAAGATACAGTTCTATCTGAAAATTTCTTAAAACTGCTCCATCCACTTGAGAACATGACTCATTCTTGGATCACTCTTGACCCAGCAATGCAGGTTGTCTTCACCAGCAGCTACAGACCTCTGCTCTTGCCTCCAACTGCTCACTGAGGCCCTCCTTCCATGATTCTTACCCAGTCGGCCACCCACATGTCCCTGATCCCCTCCTGCCAACGTCCTCTAGCCTGAACCTAACACTGCCTGAGGTCCACTCTCAACCTCTTCGGAAAAAGTAGAATTAAAAGGATACCAAATATGCAAGCAGATGCATAAGCTTAAAGAACAAAGGAACTGAATGGGACTAACATTTGTTCATTTCTCACTCTGTGCCAGGCACTGTACTAAGTACTTGACATTCCTTTTCTCATTTACTCTCTATCAGATTGGTAATATTACCTCTACTCTACTAATGAGGAAACTGAGGTTCAGAGAGGTTAAGCAACTTGCCCAGGGTCAGCGCGATAGTACTAATAATAGGTGACACGTAGTGAGCTCTTCCTGCAGGCCAGGGAGTGCTAAGCACTTTCTGCACCTCGTCTCTTCTAATCTTAAGAAACAAGGTGCTGAGAGGTAGGTGCCATTGTTATTCCCATCTACAAACGAGGAAACTAAAGCTCAGAGAGGTGGAGCCTCTTGCTTTCCTGCCCAGAGTGTCTCAGTAAGTGGCTGAGCCAGGTTTTGCACCCTGGCTCCCTGGCTCTGGAATTTTCCAGTAAACTACCTAGCACAGTGAGTAAATGGCCAAGGAGATTTGAACCCAGCTCCAGGAGACCCTAAAGCTTACACTCAGTGGTACTGACCTCGCTCCCCTGAAAGAATGGGAAATAACAACTGCTGAAGCCCTACTATATGCCACCCACTTTGTCACTGTTTTCCAGTCTAATGCTTCTAATGACCCTGCCACACAGGTCCAAACGTTTGTAGTAATCACATCAGCAACTGCTTCCTAACTGACACTGTAATTTGGTCTCTCCACATTCTAGGAAAAGAACTCGGCCCCGCAACAGTCAACCTACGTGATGAGGTGCCGGGAACAGCCACAGAACAGCATCAGCATGGCCAAGAGCTGCTTAGACTCTTCAGTGTCATTGTTGAGGCATTCCAAGAAGAGCTTTAACCCTCCGTGGGGCCCCAGCTCACAGATAAATGCCCACAGTTTGGGCAGCAGGTCATCAAGGTAAGTGAGACCTGGAAAAGGACAGAGAAACCCAAGCTTCAGGTAGGGGCTCCATCTGGTCCATTATTTCTCCTATCCACTGGGAAAACAAAACACTGAAACCTATTAGCGAACATTTAATGTGTGTGAAAGAAGGTGCAATTACTAAGAAAATCATCCTGACCGTGAGAACAACAATGATAATAACAGCTAACATTTAATGGGTGCTTACTATGTGCCAGATACCACTCTAAGTACTTTGCATGCATCATCTCTTTTCCACCTCGTGAAACTCAATGTTACCTCCATTTTATAAGGGAGGAAACAAGTACACAGAGGTTGAGTAATTGGCCCAAAACCACACAGCCAGTAAATGTTACAGCCAAGACTAAGCCCACGTCTGTCTGACTCAGCACTTCTGCGTCAAATCAGGGATCAGCAAACTTTTTCTGAAAAGGGCCAGGGAATCAATATTTTTAGGCTTTGTGGGCCTGACACACTGTCACAACCACTCAATGCTACCATTGTAGCACAAAAGCAGCCATAGATACATGAATGGACGTGGCTGTGTTCCAACAAAACTGTTTACAAAAGTAAGTGGTGGGCCGGATTTGGCCCATGGCCGTAGTTCGCCAACCTCTGCTTGAAACCCTTTCGCAGTCTCCCCTACATTCAGCAAAGCTTTCCTCTCAGCTACTTCTATTATTCTATCTCTGTTAACAATGGGAAAGCAATGAATGACCACAGCAGAGATAATCTGAAGTGTTTCACAAAAATTTAACCCTGAGTGAAGCAGGGGGCATGTGAAGTTGGCATCCTGATGGCAACAAGGCCTCAGACACGCAGGCTATACCACTGCTCCATTTGAAGTCTGTTAATACACCACTGACTTAGAAAGCTTGGCTCTGAAGTTCCACGTGTCACTTAATATACAGTAAGATGTGTTCCTCAAGTTAGTCCTTAGAAAAGGCGGAGTCAGTCACCTTACATTTGAGTCTTTATAACACCTCTCACTTTACAGGCACTCTGAATTACTGCATTTTGCACACAGAACTATGTGAGGAAGCTCTATGAGCCTGGAGCAGGGGGGGGACACGCGATCAGTGCCGCCCAGGGATGCTCAGAGGGCGAGCTGAAGGCACTGGAAAGGAGGCAAAGAAACGGAACATCCATTTAGTTTATTCCTAAAGCTTTGACCTCACATTCTCAAGGGCAGGAGGATGTGGCCATAAAATGCAGAAATCTCACAATTTAAAAATAGGTTAAAAAAGAAACAGTAAGCAGTAAGCCTTTGGAGATCACAAATATACTCCTATAGGACAAAAGAAGAAAAGTAATTGCCCTCACGTAATGCGAACGGGCACTCGTGGTGTGGACGAAAACACACGTATAGCATCAAACGCCAATTCCACAAGGGCCGCAGCCTGAGCAACTGAGAGTGACGTGAAGATGCCACGCACTGGAAAGCTGCGTCAGAGCAGGAGCTCATGGCTACAGGGCTGTCACACGCATGTGACGAGCCTCAACAAGGACGCTTTGTAAATTGTGAGAGTAGAAAAACAGCAGTATTTTTAAAACAAGCATGTTATTTTCTATAATCTGGGTATCACTAAACTAACAGACTTAATGTTACACACACACTTTAGACTAGTTTACCTTCCTAAAAGCATACATTTTCAAGTTAAGCAAAAAGCTTCTTTTTGGATCCTCTCATTGGGACAACGTGGGATGCTTAAATTTACGGTCATTTAAAAAAGTTGGACATAGTCCATCACTGCAGAACCATCGCAGTCAGTATGCTTCCCAAACCCACACATTGGGTGCTGGGGCACCCAAGCTTGGTCTGGGCCCCTTCTCTTCTCCTTCTGTCCTCTCCTTAGGGAGCCTACCTGAGGCCCAATGCTTTACACACCAACCCTTTCCCCAGGTCCCCACAATGTACACTCAAATGCCCGCTTGGCATCTCTGCTGTAGGCCCAGCAGGCCCCGTACATGGACCACAGCCAAAACAGAACTCTCAATGCCCCACAAGGCCCAGCCCCAGATGGTCAGACCCAGCTCAGCAAATGGCACCACCATCTACACAGTTGATCGACCCAGAAAGCTGGCATCACCTTTGGAACCTTTAGTCCTCACTCCCTCAAATCCAATATACCACTAAGACCTGAACCCTCTCTAAAACACATCAGAATCCTCCTGCTTCCCCCTCCACTGCAGCAGCCCAGTGGTTCTCACCCAGGGACGATTTGGCCCCATGGGAGCATCTGGCAATGTTGGGAGACATGTATGGTTGTCACACTGGGGGAGGAAGGGAGGGAGGCACTACTGGCATCAATGGTTAGGGGCTAGACACTGCTAAACATTCTACAAGCTTCCACAACAAAGAATTATCTGGCCCAAAGTGTCAACAGTGCTGAGGCTGAGAAACCCTGCTCCACTCCAAGCCAACACTGTGTCTCATTATTTCCACTGTCATAGCGCCCAGCACTACATCAAATATATTTTCCCCTTGCTTATTATTGGTCTCCCCGCTGCTAGAATATAAACCCTTGAGAACACAGACCTTGGCTATCTTACTCACCTCTGTATGCTCAGTGCCTGGCACACATAGGTGTCCTATAAATATCCGAAGATGAATAAATAAGTGTGGAAGAGAGAAGCAGCATCAATTTGATTTAAAAAAATGCAACAGAGAAGTTCTTACTCCGTTATATAGTAAACAGCTTCATGGATTACGTAACACTAATTCATACTAACTCCTGCGTTACAACTTAAAAGCCCCTCATGCCCAGTTCTGTGCTCACAGAGGGGACTTTGTTCCTTGCTCAGCTAAAAAGGAAAATGTTGGGCATATCCATGCGATGAGATATTATGCAGCCAATAAAAATAAGGTTTTGGAAGAACTTTTGACATGATGAAATGCTTTTAAAGTGATTAATGAAAAGAGAAAGATAAAACTGTATATTTCCTTCTCTATACATACATGCACACGTACATATGTATCACATTCAGGCACAGGCGGTTACGTCTGAACTGTGGGACTAGGCGTGGTTTAAGTCTTCTTTTTCAGCTTCCTTGTCTTTACTAGTTTTCCATGTAGAAAAAAACGGTAACTTTTTAAAAGCAAATGGTACTTCAAAATGAAAATAAGAGCCCAGCCACAGGAATGAACTGGAAGTGTTAGGATTGAAGTTAGCTTGAGCTATTTAACTGAGGTATACCAATCTCTAAGAAGAATAGCTCAAAAATACCTTCATTCATATCTATTTTCTCAGTCAAGGAAGCCAGAAAAATAAACTTTCTTTAAGAAAAATTATCTGCCAAATGTGAGAGACGGAAGAAGACGCCTCAGGCCGCCAACCTGTGAGAATCTGCAGCCGGATCTGGGTTAGCGTTGTCAGCGAGGTCTGGTAGAGGACGCAGATGTTGCAAACCTTCTGCACCTCCGCAGAGTCAACGCGTTTACCCCCGACAGGCCTGAGAATATTCCGAACGGATGCAGACTTCTGAAATGCACGCTTTAGGAGATCTGGCACGGAGAGAAGAAGGAACGTGTGAGCAGAAGTTCAGCCATCTGCCAAATTCCACCATGTGAAGGGAAGAGCACTTCCATAAAGCTCCTCATTTACAGTCAGAGCCAGACAGGGGGCTGCTGCTTTGATTTAAGTAATCTCTTTAGGACAAATTAGAAAAGCATTAACAAGAGGTTTTCAGGTGAAACCCACTGACCTCTTCCGAATATCAGAAAAGTCCTGAGAACAAGCCAGGCATATTCGATTCTTGCAGGGGATTCTTTTACCGCATCACTCACCTTCAGAACCCACAAAGGTAAAATTCTGAGAACTGTATTAGGGGAAGAAGGACCAAGGCGGGGGCCTGGGTGATTCCCAATTTTCTGTGCTTTTAGGCGGAAGTGGGGCATCAACTTCAAGTCCTGATAATCATTTTGGGTTGATGCAATTTTAGTTTCAAACCTCCCCATTCATACCCTGCTGAAGTGACACGGAGCCCGTGCTCGCTGACAGCTACAAGAGGAGCTTTGCAACATGCCCGACGGCAGAAGAAAACCCACCTGGACCTGGAAATCTGTAGCATCGCCTTAACTTTCATCAGAGAAAGCAATAAGAAACCTTTTCGTGGAACCCATTTCTGACCCTGCAATGGGGGCACTGCTGGGGTGGCAACCTGGTCAGTGATAGCCCAGTGCCCCCTTTATAAGGAGCCCCACATGGAGGATTTCTTTTAAGATTAGGAACTGAGAAAAGCTCTACTTCCCCTAAGAAATGGGTCTTCTTCCTGTTAATGAGAAGGAAGGAAGGGTTCACAAATCCCTTTTCACTTTGGCTGCTAGAAATTCAGAGCCAAATGGAAGTTCAGAGATAACCATGGTGGCCCTCAGGGAACATCTATCTGTGGACATTCTTCCCCACACGTGACCTTGATTTTGCTCAACTATTTCTATTTCCTTGGTCCCTGTCTTCTATTCCTAAGGATTTTCTGTCACTATTTTGCTAAGCAGTCTCAAATTCCTTGTGGGAGAAGTCAGAGCACCAAACGAACAGAGGGGGCCAGATGCCCAGGGACGATCAGGAGCTGCACTCCAGCCAAGCAGAGCCATGGGGCCCGGCCTGCTCCAGCCACTCACTCTTCACAGGAAGCACGTTCTGCGGGGAGGCCGGCTGCACATGGGCTGGCTCCTGGCTCTCCAGCAGCTTCTTGCTCAGGATGTCACTGAAGAAGATCCGGATCAGAGGCACCCCCCACAGGAACTGCAGCTGTTTGGTGATCAAGGGCATTGACTCGTTAAGCCTAGGAGAGAGCAGGAGACCAGGCGTGTCAGTTCCACCTGATGGATGGCCGCGGAAAGGCCACTCCGCTCCCTAAGGGGCCTTCCACTTGGAGGGGTAGCTAGGGTCTGCCACTCAATACGGTAAATAAGATAAAAAGAAAAAAAAAATGAGGTCCACAAACTGCCGCTGAGGCCTGGATGTGTAAGGCAGTGACCTCTTTATCTTCTCTGTTGCTCCACCCAGACTTCCTGTGCTGCCAACACCATCACTGCTCTCCCCAGGTCCCCAGGCTCCAAACATCACAGTCATCTCCCAGGCATCTCTATCTGTTCTTCACCCTAATTCCATTCTGTTTACCCCCATCGACAAAAGCCATCTCCTTCACGGCTAGCTTGCAGGCCTGCCCACAAATGTCACTGACTCACTAGCCTCCTGAGCCTCCTCGTCTTCAAGTGCTCCTTTTTCCACTCCACACTGCACCCCAGCATCAGAATCACACCCTGAAATGCGCTCTCATCCCCTCCCTGCTCGAGACCCTATAATGGCTCTCAGCTGTTCTCCAGCATCACAGTGGTAACAGCCACCACCACTGAGTGTGGGCCAGGCCTGCGGCAGGCTCTCACATGCATCACCTCATTCAATGCTTTGAATCAACCCTAGCAGAGGGACTGTGAAAATTACCCCCATATTTCAGAGGAGGAAAGCGAGGTGAAGTGACCTGCTCAAGGGCCCTCAGAGAAGAGGAGTGGAGCTCAGGCCAGGCCATTCACCACTGTGCTATCCACCCCACCCTGCTCCCACAACATCCCTCCTGACTCCCCAACACAAACACCCATTCTCTTCAGGCTGGGAAGGCACACTGGGTGGAAGGAGGTCATCCGCCAACAATCAGTCTTTTTAACTGGATGTCACTCAGTTATGAGGAAAAGGGAGGAAATCCAGTGATTTCCCTCCCTGGCCCCGACTTTTCTAGCTCAGGGGTACCTGCCAGGGACCCCAGGCCACAAGCAGATATCTAACAAGAAAGCAGCTGGCCATCACAGCTGCCTCAGCTCCCAAGACCCACTTCATCTCAGCCCAGGGTACACGTTTTTAAATTTGTGAGGAGCCCTACTTAATCCCTACCTTCTAGCCTAGTGTTTTTTAATATTTTTGAGTTCTTAACCAAAAATTTTAAAATTTATATTCCACCTCTTGAAAAGGATCTGGGGTAACTTTCATTCTCTTTGAATCACATGTCTTATTTTAGTTACCTCCAAAATATGGCAATCTAGGCAATCAATAAAAGCAATACTGAAGAAAAAAAGATAATATTGATAAAGTTGCATAATTTACTAAATGAAAAGAACAAAATATAATAGAATAGAATCTCATTTTTGTGAAAAAATTATTGATATTTATAGGCAGGAGAAAGACTGAAAGGATGTTTGCCCAGGTTGTCTTTGGGTACTAGCATTATGGGATGGTTTTTATTTTCTTTTGGTCTTCAGTATATTTTATACAATGAATATATATAACCTCACACTAAGAAACAAAATAACAGAAGCTGGAAGGGAGAAAGCAGGAAGAAGGGTGAGGCAGTGGGAGAGACAGAGCTTTGCCTCCGGGACTCACCCATAGTCCACGGATTGGGAGAACCAGCCCAGGACAGGGTGCCAGTGGGTCAGGTTGGATTTCTTCTGGGACACATACTTCTGACAGTAGCACAGCATCTGGGTGAGCAAACTCACAAACCCGTCTGTCTCCTCCTCTAACACTCGGGGGCTGAGGGAGCCCAAGTGCAGGAGGTTGCCTACAAAGAGACAAGGCTGAGTGCAATGGGCTCAGACGGACACACTTCATCACCTCCCAGCCTGCTCTCTCCCAGTGGCTCAGGCAGCCACGTCTACGTGCAGGAAGAAATTCCATGTAGAGGGGCTCCTGCCAGTGCTGGGGCTGCAGTGTGGTGCAGGCTAAGAAATAGGCTGACCCGGCTTCAAATCCTGGCTCTGCCAAGATGAGCTGTGTGACCCTCAACCCACCTCTCAATTCTGTTTCCTCTTCTGTAAGATTAGAATAATGGTCCCCACTCCTGGCATGAGGATCATATGTGATAACATGTAAGATGTCCGGCACACAGAGATATATGATATTAGTTAGTATAACATTTTAATATTGCACTAAGATTTTAAAATCAAGGGTCAACATAAGAATCGACCTTTTGAAAAACATCTGAATGCCCTGGGAAATCACTGTTATTCAGTGTTTACCAAAGTTATTTAATATGCCTTCTGTGAGGACTCTTGCATAAACCCCCTTAACATTTAGCCCCAAGAGGGGGCCAGCCCCATGGCCGAGTGGTTAAGTTCATGTGCTCCACTTCGGCTGCCCAGGGTTTTGCCAGTTCGGATGCTGGGTGCAGACATGGCACCGCTCATCAAGCCATGCTGAGGCGGCGTCCCACATGCCACAACTAGAAGGACCCACAACTAAAAATACACAACTATGTACTGGGGGGCTTTGGGGGGGAAAAAGGAAAAATAAAATCTTAAAAAAAAAATTTAGCCCCAAGAATTCTTTTCTACATAAGACAAATTTCTTCTAATTAGGCAATGAGAATTATGTACCTCTGCTGTTTTCAAAGGCTTCTATCCATAAACCCTTTCTTCATCTACAATGAAAACATTGTAAAACAGATGATGCAGCCCTGATCTAAGCCCCACCCAACTGCATGTGCCCTCTCTTCTCTCTGGAGATGAGAATTATCCAGGCAGCTCACTACGTTTTCATTCTTCCTCTGCTGCCTGGAAGCAAGCGTCACACTCACTCACAGTCACTCAACCAGTCTGTCAGGCTGACATATTTCCCACGTGATGTTCAAGTTTACATGTCTATTTTAACTGGCTATCTGACCACATGTCTTTTATTGTAAGCACTTCCAATTCTTACTAAAAACAGCTTGTGCTCTCCAGAAGGGTGAAAACCAAAACACTTGGGCTTTTCCTGACACCCAAAGTACAATGAAATTCCAGCCAGATACTCACCCATTAGACAAAGCGTATGGCATCCTTCTAAACTTTCACATACGTCACGGCATCGGTCTTCATCTCTTAAAAATGTGATGAATTTACGAAGCATGTCATGAGATTCTAAAACAGTGAGGCGCTGCAAACAATTGCAGACTGTTAAAGCGGAAGCTGACAGGAAGAATCTCCCTCCAGAGCACGAAACTGACCACCTGCAGATCAGCCCCCAGTTGCCAAGTGTGCTACGAATCGCCAAGAAGAAAACGAACAAAGATGAGGACCTGCTTCTTTGGGCTACTAACCTGAGGGTGCCTGCAGTGGTTACTGATCTGGAAGAAATATCAGAAGAGGTGGACACGAACAGAGAAAACAGTTTACTTTCTAAGAAGGGCAAAAATGGAATCGGGAGAATGCCCGGAGCCCACTTACCTCAGGGGTCACTGTGCTGAGATGAGTCACGAGAGCAGGCACAGACATGATGTGGATGAGGAATGGCCGAATCAGATTGTCTGAAAATTCTGCAGCAATCACAGGGCTAGACACAGACAGATCACCTTATTCAGAGAGGCCTGCATGTGAAGCTGGAACAAGAGAACAGCCCTACCCACGCCCCAGATCCCCGGACACTATGCTTCTGAGGACTTCTTGGAAAACTAACAGCTGAAAATGGGGCCATCCACCAGGGAACGGCTGAATCAATGACAGTACAGTCATATGATGCAGCTATGAAAAATCAGTTTTGAAGTTTTACTGACATGAGAAAATGCTCATGCTATAATAAACTTTAAAAAAATGCAGAAGAGGAGGGCGGGGGTAGTGACTGGGAGGGAGGAAAAAGGGGCTTCTGGAATGCTGGTACTGCTGTTCTATTTCTCAGCTGGGGTGGTGCTCCACAGACGTGTTCACTACATGATAACCCACCAATAACTCACACTTCAAATCAGCAATTTATTTTAAATATATGTTATGATGTTAAGATTTAAATACATACGCATCCACACATAAATATATACAAATGAAAAAATATATACACAAAATATATTTTAAAATGTTAACAATGTATCTCTGGGTTGTAGAGTGATGAGAAACATTTTCTCTTCCTTATAGTCTTCTATTTTACCCAGGTTTTTTTTACAGTAAGCAGGTATTACTTTTATAATCAGAAAAAGAGATAAACACTAAAATAAGACAATGACCCCTACCTCACACCATATGCAAAAATTAACTCAAAATGGATCACAGACCTAAACGCTAGTTTTATAACTGAAAGTATAAAAGTCTTAGAAGAAAACACAGGAGTAAGTCTTTGTGACCTTGGGTTAGGCGATGATTTTTTAGATATAACACCAAAATCACAATTAAAATTTAAAACTTTTGGGCCTCAAAAGACACCATCAAGAAAGTGAAAAAATGAGCCACAAAATGAGAGGAAATATGCAAATTATGTATCTGATAAGGGACTTTTATTCAAAACATATAAACAACTCATACAACTCAACAATAAAAGACAACTCAATTCAAAAATGAGAAGAATCTAAATAGATATTTCTCCAAAGAAAGATACACAAATGGTTAATAAGCACATAAAGAGAGGGTTGACATCATTAGCCATCAGGGAACTGCAAATCAAAATGACAGTGAGATGACCTCATACCCTTTAAGACGGCTATGATAAAAAGAGAAGAGAAGAGTGGGCAGTGCTGCTGGTGAAGGCTGCCCCAGCAGGTGACTCAGGAAAGGGAGTGGCAGGAAGCTGCTACCAGGAAAACCTGCTTGTGCCTAGGTGAATGGCTCATTCAGTACAACTCTGTGCAGCTCCTCTCAAAGTACGGAACAAAAGTATAACTGTTACTAGAGAGTTCGTTCCACTTCTGTAACTACTTATAGCATAACTGGTTAAATCCTGCTTCTCTGTTACGACATATGCTAGAGACATCTAGAGCTGTGCTGTTTAATACAGCAGCCACTGCCACGTGTGGCTCCTGAGCACTTAGAATGTGGCTAGTCCAAATTCAGATATGCGAGAAGTGTAAAATATACGCCAGTTTTTGAAGACTGAGTATGAAAAGAGATATTAATAAATTACTTAATTTTAATTAAGATAAATAATTTAAAAATATTGATTACATGTAAAAATGATAATACTTTGGATATATAGGTTTAAATAAAATATATCATTAAACTTAATTTCCCCTTTCTTTGGACTTTAATGTGGTTTTCATTCTATTTCTATTGGACAATGCTGCTCCAGACCAGCCTTGTTCAGCAGAACTCTCTGTGATGATGGAAATGTTCCATATTTGTGCAGCCCAATACAGTTGTCACTAGTCACATGTGGTCCCTGAGCACTTGAAATGTGGCTAATGCAAATAAGGAGCTGCATTCTTAATTTTAACAAATTTCTATTTAAATGGCCCCATGTAGTTAGTAGAAAGCACAGTCTAAACCAGAGGTTAGCAAACTACGGCCCACAGGCCAAATTCTGCCCACTGTTTTTGTAAATAAAGTTTTATCAGAACACAGCCATTCTCACTTGTGTATGTATTGTCTACGGCCACCTTGCACTACAATCACAGAGTAGTTTTGACAGAAGCTGCATGGCCCACAGAACCAAAAAAATTTATTAGCTGACCCTTTACAGAAAAAATTTGCCAATCTATGCTCTAGACCATCATTTTCCAAATCAGTGTTCCATGGAAAATGATTCCATGGGATATTAAGAGACATGCTCCACCATCCAAAAACTGGGCGAGGGTATTCCACGTTCAGGTATGTTTGGACCAACATCAGATCAAATGAGTCCAAAGGGTCTTGCTACCGCAGGACGTGCCCGAGCTTTTGCAGAAAGGCGCCCTGTGGATTAGCAGGAGGGGGCAGAGCAGGCAGCTTTACCAAGCCGGTTTGACCTCAACATTCCTCTCTCCCAAGCTGTTATTATCTTGGGGATTAAGACTATCACGTTATCTTATTAATATCTCCTCAAGTTAGTGTTCCTCTTGACAGTTCAAGAATGTTCTGGACCTATTAACAACTGCAGCTTCTTACACTAGGTGGTTATCAGAATTGCAGGTATAATTTCTACAAGGAAATATTTAGCTTCTTATGTACTTTATACTTCCCAACTAAGTGAAGGCAAATATCACATCCTCTCTTGTCCTCCAAATTCTAACATTTTAAACCTGTGTTCACAACACTATGCCCTTAATCCTTTTACCCTGCCCTTTGCTGGGCCTCCTCCAGCTCTGAGGTTTCTTATTTATTTATTTTTGCCGAGGAAGATTCACCCTGAGCTAACAACTGTTGCCCATCTTCCTCTTGTTTTTTTTGTGAGTCACCATCACAGCATGGCCATTAACAGACAAGTGGTGCAGGTCTATGCCCAGGAATCAAACCCAGGCTGCCGAAGTGGACTGTGCTGAACTTAACCACTAGGCCACCAGGGCTGGCCTCAGGTTTCCTTTGTTTTATCAATTAAAAGCTCAAGAGGAAAAGTGATTGTATCCTGGCCCCTGGCAGAACGAAAGCAATTCATTTTGAATAGCTTCCTTCAAATCGTGATGCAAAAACATTTAGGGGTAGAGATGGAAGATTAAGAAAAAGAGCAGTGGCAGACGTGTCACTTTCACCAAGAACACCACTTCTTGTAAATTCTGACAAAGTGGGCAAGCCTACACCTTCGACAAGTAACAAGAGAAAAGCAAGGCAGGAAGAGAAGCCTTCAGAAGCATGACCGCCCCCAGCTCTGACTTCTACTTACCGCAGCGCTAGCGAAAAGGCTGCAGTCAAAGTGCCTTTGGACAGACAAGGCCGGGGTCTCGCCAGGCCACGGGTCAGCAATATCTGAAAAGAACGTGTTAACTGGTCAGGGGACGATGCCAGCTTTACACTCATTTGTGTGTAAAAAAGAAGCATAAACGTGAAATGAGTGTTTCAGATAAACTATGTTGGAATGTTTTTTAAAAATGAAGGGAGAGAAAAGTAATGGGCGTGGAAATTCATTACACTGTTCTCTATTTTAAATACTGTGTTTAAATTTTTTAAATAATAAACAGTTAAAAAAATTAGCAGCCAATAAAAATGCCAGACTTGAAACTTCAGGACACTCTATTATCTTAGAAGCAGTTCAGAGTTATGGTGTCACGTGGAAGCTTCCTCACTGAGAGGACTGTTGATAATGCCACCTTCGGCTGTCACACCACTTCGCAGGTTACTGTGAGGAGAAAATGACACCAGACCAGGAAAGAGCCCCTCTCAGAACCAGGCGGAAGGAAGGGCCATGACGATGCCACCTCCCAAACCCAAGAATCCCAAGTACTTCCACACAGCGATTAGGTTTCTGACAATTCCCTGGAGATATGAACTGGCACAATAAGGTGCAGTGTCAACAGAAGGCTGTGTGAGGAGACAGAGCCGGAGAGAGAATTCCAGACACCAACCAAGAAGGAACCCGAGGGAAGAGGCCCTGAGGCCTCCGCCCCGAGTTTCAATCTCAAGCGACTGGACCATCCCTGCAGGTAACAGAGAAGCACAATCAAGGGATCCCAGGGCCATTACCCTCCCTTCACACACGGCACAGCAACTCAAGGTAGGGGACGGAGGAGAGGACGCCAGGCATTAAACTCCTCCCGTAAAAGGCGCTTCTGTAGGAGGGCCCAGATGTAGAAATCCAAGTTAAGGTATGGAGAATGCGATTACTCTTAGGGGACGGGGTCACAGACCTGCAGCACAGAATAAAATCCACGCTGGTTGAGATGTCCCATTATATTTGCACAGATGTGGTTCAGGGCTGGTCGAAGACTCTCTCCTAAATGAAGAAAAGAGTCTGAGAAAAAAGCCCTCGGCCGTATGGAAACAGTTTACGCGGGCAGAAAATCCTGCTCCGGGCCCAAGGCCGTAAGGAAACGTGGTTTACTCTGGCCTGCCTTCCTCTCCCCTTAGGTCTGGTACCAGAGGACAGGGAGACGTCACCTCTCCGGAATTCTCAAGTGCCACCTCTCAGGTGATGGGTCCTATCGGTTCCCCAGCCAGAAGTCGCGTCCTGGCCTCTGAGCTCCTGGAGCACCTTTTCTACTTCCCTCGGAAGGCCTGGCACTCTTACTCTCTGTGGCTGCCTCCTCTCTCCTAGGAGAGGCTGTGTGGTACTAATCTTATGGGACCACCGTCACGTATGCGGTCCGTCACTGACCGGAACGTCGCTATGTGGTGCATAACTGGATTCAAGTGTGACTTCCTTCAGTCCTGTGAGGAAGGGCAGGCACACAGCAGTTCAGCACCTCAAGCCCTCCCGGGTGGTGACCTTTTCTCTATCTCCAGGGCCCGCACAGCATCGGGCACACAGTGGGCTACTTGCTGAATGGATGAATGGAGGGAATACACAAAACACGTAAGGCTAAGTACGATTTCAGGGGAGGAGGCAGCTTTACAATGCAAATTTTAGGGGTGAAATAGAAGTATTGGCTGCTGACTGAGCCTCCAAATCAAATAAGGCTTAAGTGAATATTATCACTCGAAGGCTGAGGTGCTGTGGGAGTTATGAAACCCGAGATCAGAGGGACCGTGCCTTTACGCATAAACCCCAAGAAGGGAGCGGGTCTAGCACACAATACTCAACATATTTTGGACGCTGTAACGCAGTCTGATGGGAAGCGCCAAGGGCATCTTCATTTGCATGGTCTCAGGGCCTTCCCTGAGGCCTATGGCAGCGAAATGCTTCTGAAAAAGGTGAAAAGGGCCCCAAGTTCTCTATGGAAATGCTACTTAGGAAAGATTTTCTCACAAGTCCCACATACCTTTTCCCCGGAGAATTTTCCACGTTGAAGTGTCTGTGAAGGTGACAAGCATTGTGAGGTACAGCGTGATGAGTCTGGAGTCTTGTAAAATTTCAGGCTGGAAAGCATAAAGAGGGTAAAACTAAGACACACGCCCTCTAGTCCCAGACAAGGGAGCAACCATTTTTCAATTTTTCCGAGTCTGCATTCAGGCTCAAAAAAGTAAGTCAGGATTATAAGTAAGTCTTTATTCTTTTTCTCTTGGGGAATGACCATTTTAGGAGTTAAATGACAGGGATTTCGGCACACTAGTGCTTGACCATGTAATATGAAATACTCTTGGGAAGAGAGAATTGAGTACTCTTGGAAAACAAGATGACCAGGGCTGGCCTGCTGTATGTAGGCATTTACGTACATAAGCATGTACGTACGCAGGAGCAACAGAGTAGAAATGCAATGGAACATAATAGGGACTCCAGGCTCAGGCTTCTGGCTTTACCAGTTAACTAGCTGTGTGATGTTGGGCAAATTTCTTAACTTCTCTGTACCTCAGTTTCCTCCTCTGTTGACTAGGGATATTAACACTGCTTTCTCCATAGAGTTGAGAAATAAAGGGATTAATGTATATAAAGCAGTAAGAACAGTGCCTGGCACATAGATAACTCTATGTAATGTTGGCTATTATTATAATCATGATTATAATTCATGCTTGCTGCCAGGTCAAGGCCAAGAGAGCATTCCCAAGAGATTCTCAAGAGAGACGGCTGGGAACGGATCACTGGGGGCTCTGGGGACATTTGCTCCATCGCTCAGCTGCTTCCTGAGTCCTTGCCAAGCCTCTGCCCCTAAACTTCTCCCTCCCTACGTGCAAAGTGGAAATGGCCGCTGTTGGCATCCACTCACACCCCTGCCCACCTTCTCGTAACACAAGGGTGGGCACAGGACCAGGCTGGGCTGGCGGCAGTATCCCATCCTCCTTGTCACCGTGACCAGTTCAGAGTTGACACCAGGATCCCACTGGACTTTTACAAGTCCTCCCAAATTTCTGAACTGGTGGGGGAGACCTCCCTTTTCCCTTTGGTCAAGACAGAGTAAGAATTTGAGGCCAGAACTGCTGGCTACCATGTTTACAGCAGAAGAGGACAAGCTGTTTTCAAAAGGGAGCAGAGATGAGAGAAAGGAACAAGAGGGAGAAGCCAGAACCCTTGGCTCTAGTCACCCACACCTGCCTCTTCCATGACTAAATATTCTCTTTCTGCTTAGCTTATATGTATTACTACCTGCACTCAGGTTGGGTTTCTGCACTTATAACAAGAGGCCTGACTAGTTTAATAAAATAAACTATAAAGTATTCTTTGTATCAAAAGAATGGGAAGGAAAACAACAAATTCCCTGTGGTAAGCACTGACCAATGTTTGAAATATTGTACATGAAAGAAAGGCTCATATTTAATTATTATTATTTTTGGTGAGGAAGAGTGGCCCTGGGCTAATATCTGTTGCCAATCTTCCCTTTTTTTTCCTCCCCAAAGCCCCAGTACACAGTTTTATGTGCAAGCTGTGAGTCATTCTAGTTCTTCTATGTGGGATGCTGCCACAGCATGGCCTGACAAGCGGTACGTAGACCTGCACCGAGGATCCAAACCAGAAAACCCTGGGCTGCCAAAGCGGAACTCATGAACTCAACCACTCGGCCATGCGGCTGGCCCCAAAAAGGCTTATATTGCTAACAGTATCGAACTCCCTCTCTCCTAGGACATGGGCTCTAATTATTCCTTATTAGACTCTCAATTATAGATCCCTAAAGGTACAGCCTATGAGGGAACCATGAGGACTCTGAAAACATATTGTAAAGGCCTCAAGTAGGAAGGCTATACATACAGTTGTGTTTTTTGTTTTTTTTTTTTACCTTGAGCTGCTTAAGAAACTCACAGCAATACCACAGAATGTCTTTGATCTGTTTGATCCACAGGAGGGTGAGATCTTTGGAAAGTGCCAGGGACACATACCACACCTACAAGCAGGAAAAAGAGAAACGTAACAGCAGTTACAGGGATCAAATTACATACGTTCTGGCTACGGCAACGGGACCAATGAGCCAGTCCAGTGCCAGGTAAGGCAGCAGGGATGAGCGGATGAATGAGCAGCAAGCAGGGCTTATTTTAATACTAAACCTAGAGATAAAATAGCCTAGTATAGGAATTTACCATTTTGAGTGAGACGCAAGAGTAAAACACAGCTTCTTGGATAATGAAGAGACCAAGGAAATCAGCGGTACTTTGTTAACGTTTTTGATCCATTACTTATTTGCACATGTGTGTGAATTAACAAAGTCATAACACTCAACAGGAACTTTCAGAGCCAAATAGGCTGACTTGAGAGCTTGTGGGACTTTCCAGCTCCTGTCCCACTTACCTTGGGTTCATTCTCAGCATCCATGCTGCTCAGGATACAGCGACACAACTTCTCAAATCTCTGTAAAGAGGCACAATAGGGGTTAGAAATTCCCACAAGTAATGGAGAAATAGGAAAGAAGCACATGTTTGGTGGGCACCTGGCATGTGCAGACATGACGTCAGATGACTCACACATGTGATCATATTTAATCCCTCCTCACAGATGTGGAAACTGAGCATCAGAAAGGCTAAAGAAAGGTCCTCACAGGGTGGCCCACAGGCTGGGGAAGCCCTACACATGTATTTAGATTGGGGCTCCTTTGGAAAGACAAATCCATCTGGAGAACTGGGCTTGGCTTCCTGCAGACGAGCAGCCATCTCCTACGCTGTGCTCTCCTGTCTGCCATCTTGTAGGCACCACAGATACTGACTTTTGCCTCACAAACCGTCATATCATCACTTTTCCCTTGAAACGCAAAAGGAAGAAAACTGGAAACTGGAAACCATGTTCCACTCTGGCCATAGCAACCCTGGATCCACCCTTCAAAGTGGTGTGGTCCTGGGCGGCTGCCCCACCCCACTAAGCTGCAGTTTCCTCCTCTGCAAGCAGGGGCACCTCACTGTGCCTGCCTGTCCTAATCTATGTGACCGTGTGCTCACGGCCAGCATACTCCTCTCTCTCTTCCTGGGCTACAGGTTCCACGAGGGTGAAGACCTTGTCCATCGTGTTTCCTCCTGGGGCCCCAGTGCCTAGAAGAGGGTCTGGCACAACGTGAAGCTTAGCAGTAATGAATGTCTCACCCCTGGGGACACAGAGTCAATGGTATCATCAGTACTCTACAGCTGCTTCCTTGGAATTGTATTTTCTAGGCTGATCATTCTAATTCCAAAGGTACAACCAGCATGTTTTGCATGATTTGCAGGTTCTAAGACATTTCAAATTAGCTGCCAGTTTTTACAAATTAGAAAACTGAGTGGAAAGGTCTCCAGTATCTCCTTAAAAAATCAGAGTACCAGTCCACCACGGTCTGGCCCGAGCAGCAGCAGCGCCCTCTGGATGGGCGTGCCACAGACCCCATCCCTCCCTCTGATGTCCTCACCACCACTGCCTGTCAGTTACCAGTTATGAAGACTTGCATTATGTCTTGTCTCACAAACGGCTTCTTTCACTCATGTGCCTCAGCTGCCTGACTCCTGTAAGCATCCGAGTCCATGTGCTTATAAGAGTCAACATGAAAAGACCGTGACGATTCCCAGAAGCACTGGACATAATCCCCACAAAACACGCTCCACGAAAACCAAAGGGCAGGATGTGGGAGACAGGACCCATCTCACAGAGGCGTCGTAAGGACTACATGAGTTAATATTCAGAAAATACTTACACAAAGGCCTAGCAGACAGTAAGCACAATGCATGTTTGCCATTATTATTTTACCTCATTATCCTCTTTGATTCTGAACAAGAACAGCAGTTTCCTGGCAATCTTAAAAATACAAAGTGCACTTCTTTTACTGGACCCCGAGTCATCTGCTGTGAAAAACTCATCGATCTCTCTCCTAGGGAGGGAAGGGTAAAAAAGGACATTTTTCATTAGGAGCTCACAGGAGCTGGAAGGTTTTTAAGAAGTGTAAGCGAAAAATGCAATCTCTTCTTGCTATGACTTGAGAGCAAGAGAACAAGTGCTGAGGAGTCCACAGCCCCCACCTGATTTCTCTCCGCAGTCGACGGCGACAGAGAAAACTCCGCACGTGGGCCTGAATGCCTACAGCAGCTCGCTCCCGCTCCTTCTGCACAAGTCTTTCCTCACGAGCCTGACGGGCCCTATCGATGAACCATGCTCTCGAGGTCTGAGAAACGGTGAACATGTTTGCAAACGTGCACAAACCCTGCAAGGAAAATGGCGAGTGGCTGGTGTAGGTCACTATGTGAAAAACATGTACAGAAAGGGGCTCACGAGCAGAGAGTTGGCAGGGACTTGGGTGGCAGCAGAGAGCTACTCAGGGCCCTCCAGCACCTTCCAAAGGGCTAACAGCTCTCCTGGCACAAGTTCCAACTTCCTATCAGCTCCTTTCACGCAACGCACCAAGACCAGCAATGCTTTTCCCTGTATTAAATAATTACATTTCCTTAAGAGAAAGAGCACAGCACCTGGCATCAGGTACAGGCTCTGTAATCGTTAACGAACAAAGCACAAATCGACTTCATCCACAAAGCTCTAATTCAAACCAGGCATCCTCTAAGTCAAAGGATCCAAGATATTTGCATGTTCCGGAACAGTCCACAATACTTGGGACGCCAACACTGAGCAGTCAACTTTCATTCTGCCAAGTAAAGACTTGAGGGGAAATATCAAACATGATTATTTACTGTCCCCATTATTTTGTTTATCCATTCACTCAACAATTATTTACTGGTATCTACTTTGTGCCCAGCACAAAAGAAGCCTTTCATTTGTTTAAAAAGGGCCATGTTAACAGTAAAAACACTAAACATACATGATTCCAGAATGGAATACAATCCACTAAATTGAATACATTTGGTTTTATGTATAACATGTTCTGTCGTCCTTACTGTTCCCATCCTGCCAAGGGCTGATGAAGTCTTTGGAGCAGAACTGCTCCCATCCACTGACTGGTACATTCTGGACAGAGGCTCTAAATCATCCATTACATTTTTATCTAAATCCCCAGCCACTGTCTTTTCCCAAAGGGATGGCTTTGGCGATCAGCCTAGGGCACACAGCACTGGTCCACGGAGGCTCCCATGCTCAGATGACTTCTTTAGATGCTTGATAACTTTGTCATTCTATCCAAAATATCTAATCAGCCCAGCCGACAAAGGCAGTGAAATGAATTATTCAGAAACCCAGACTTCTGGAAATCAATCTCTTTCTCAGGTTGCTTCCCTCAAAGCAGTGCCTACAGGAAAACATCGAGAATAAAAAGCTCAAGCGAGGCTCTTCTCATGTCAGCATATCGAGGGACCTCTGTGGCCCCCTGTCAACGCTGATCCACATCTGTTAAACAACAAGGCTTTTCCAACACATAGGTCTCTCACCAGGACTTCTCAAAACAAATGAGCAGAGCCCTCCTGACCACAGCAGGGAGAAGAAGCAGGCAGGAGAGCAAAAGGGAGCAGCCTTCTGAGTCATTTACTCTGTCGCCCCCCCGTAGGGGACGTCTGCAGACTCACCTGAGGCCCCGCCCGCGACGCAGAAACGCCAGGTAATCATCAGTGATCTCGCACAGGACGCACAGCGGACGGCAGCTTCTCACTTCAGAGGAGGGGTCTTTTCCGGCAGAAGCAGAAGAAAAAAATCCAGATTTAGGGTTAAGTTTTATAAGCAGGGCATCATATATCTTCCTCACCGAGTAAAACTAATAAAAACCGTGCCTGGGGTTTTAAAACAACAACACTGTGTCCTCTTTTGTTAACGCCTGATCTACATGGTAGACATATCTCCCCAGTCCCCACACTTTACAGTGAATAAGTTGAAAATAACTCCAAAGAAGTTGTTAAATTAAAGGTATACACACTTTGTGATGGCAAGCAGGAATAACAGAGGGGATGGAATGTTAAAAAGCCATTGAAAATTATGCTGAACATTTTTAACAATATGGAAAATGTTTATGCCTAAGAAATAAAAGAAGGGCTGGCCATGAACCAGTATGATCCAAATTATATAATGAAAAAGAAAAATGCATGTGTACACACGGAGAGAAAACTGGGAAAAATACACCAAGATGTTAGGAATGGCTGTTTTGAGGCAGTGGAATTGTGGGAAACGCTGCTTCCTCAACTAGTCTGTCTTCTAATCTTTTTTTAAAAATTATTTATTTATTTTTTAATTAATTAAATTTTTTTTTTTGAGGAAGATTAGCCCTGAGCTAACATCTGCTGCCAATCCTCCTCTTTTTGCTGAGAAAGACTGGCCCTGAGCTAACATCCATGCCCATCTTCCTCTACTTTATATGTGGGACGCCTACCACAGCATGGCTTTTGCCAAGCGGTGCCACATCTGCACCCAGGATCCGAACCAGCGAACCCCGGGCCACCGAGAATCAGAACGTGCGCACTTAACCGCTGCGCCACCAGGCTGGCCCCTAGTCTGTCTTCTAAATGTACCATATGCTCTTTCCTCAACATGGAGACAGGCCCTCATTTGGGGGGTGGGGCAGAGAAGAGGGAGCCTCTTCCCTATGGAAAAACAGGTAGCTGCACGCAAACTGTGACTAAGTACATACCATAAGACTATCTCAAGGCTTTCAGTTCTCTGGGGGGGCCTTGAGGATAAGACCCCTCCCTTGAGATTATTATCCTCTCAGCAATGCTATGCGCTGGTTTCCGTTTCCACCATATAACAGTGTGTACTTTGCAGTTGTTCTAATTCTTTCTTATTCACCTCCTCTAACTGCATAGCACCTACTACAGTCCATCAAGCAAAGAAAACACATAATGAAGTACTTACGTACTTACTCTGCTAAGCACCACAGAGAATCAAGGAAAAGGCTGTGTGGAGCAGAAAAAGCCTTGGATCAGACAAAGGTCTGATCCAGACTGGTTGTTTTTAGTTCTGACTCTGCTTCACTTGACCAAGCTACTTATCCCCAGTAGGCCTCAGTTTCCTTATCTGTAAATTGAGGATAATAACAGTACCTACCTCCTAGGGTTGCTAAAAGGATTAAATGAAACATTTACCCTTCTTGTACCTCAACTTAGTCGTCATGACACTGTGATCACGATTAAATAGAAAACTGTTCATAAGGAGTATCTGAAAGCTGACAGCGTATAAGGGAGCCTACTGCCTTGTCCTCAAGAAGCTTACAATCCAGTTAGGGAAACAACAATGACATATGTGGAAGGATTAGGAAACAAGGGGTTGGTGATAACCAAGATCATTTGAAAAGCAAACAAAAACATATTGATTGAGAATCCACTATGTGTCAAATCCCTTCTACATGATCTCATCCAATAGGAACAGCAGCCCTGTGAGATCATTTAATACCCTCCAGAGTCCATGTTAGACCATTAGCAAGGGGCAGAGCCAAGATATTCATACTAAGAGAGAGGACTCAAACTCTTCTCTACTGTTATAATCCCATGAGACCTGCTCAAAATCAGTCTTTCCAGGATGAGTTCTCTCATGGAGAACTACGAAAGAACACCACAGTCCAGAGAGCACTGTCCAGAGAAGAAGCACCATAAATACCAACTGCTGACTGAGCCCAAGAGGATTCTCCCCATTTGGGGGGAACAGCTGGGCAGCCAGGTTTAATGACCACCACCATTTGTTAAGGGCAGATGATGTATCAGACACTGTACTGACATTCAACCGATTTTGTCTTATCAATACTATCAGATCTCAACAGTCTAATTTTTTAAGAACAGGCAATAGCTATCATTTATTGAAGGCTACAGCCTATCTAGTTGTGTGCTATTATCATCAATCCCACCTTCACATGGAGAAAATGAAATCTAGAGAGGGGACGTGACTTGCCTGAGGTCTCTGGGCTCCTTAATTTGAACTCACGTCTAATTGCTAAGCAATTATTGATTTTAAGTGGAACAGACTAGATCCAGGGACTCTTGCACTCACAGAACAGCAAACAAAAGCTGAGAATGCTGGCGACGATAAGTTAGAGCCAAATTACGACCAAGTTTTTCTTTATTGATATCATTAACACCAGCTGCCCTTATTGAGAGCTGAGCGTCAGCCACGGTACTAAAACTTGTATTACACAACACCCTCTGTGAAACGAGCTAATTACTCCATTTTACAGAGGAGGAAACTGAAGCTCAGAGAGGCGAGGGAAGTCACCCCAGATCACACAGCGAGTGGATAGGATTTGAACTCCCGGCATATTTTCTCGGCATTAACAACCACAATAACAAATGTTTTTCACCCAGCATTAGTCCGTTTATAAAGGCCTATCGCCCCAGACATGAAAAGAGGTGGAAAAGGCCACGGAGAGACCCCCTGGAGCCCGAAAGCAAGCAAGCCCCCAGAGCCTGCGCCTCCGACCAAGCGAATCAGGGACCGGGCCCCAGGGCCACCTCCCTCAAAGTCCCCGGCCCCACCACCCGGAGAACTCACGACCCCGTTCCCACTCGCTACCCGCAGGCCGTAGACCTTTACCTGTTCGAGGCCCCCGCGCACGGGGTTGGCGCCACAGCCACCGCAGCCTCAGCCTAATACCCCCAAGCTCTGCCAGACCCGGGGCAGCGGCCGAGGCCCGACCGCCATCTTGCCCCGGGGTGTTCGCTCTGAGAGCTCCGCTGGGCAGCAACTACCCAGTTCCGGGCAACGACAGTTCCGCAGAGCCTCTTCGCCCGGGAAGGAAAACCTCCCTACACCTGTCCTCCTCTCCGGAAACTGAAAAAAGCGGAGCCTTCAGGAGCAGGATAAAGGCCTGACTCAGCCGAGAGGAGATGCACCCCACCCCAGCAGGACAGTTTGGAAGTAAAGCGGCCGACGCCCTGCCGCACAGCGGACCCCTTACGAAGGCGCCCTCTGCGGGGCGGAAGTGGGGAGCCCTGGGCCGACAGCGGAAGTTCCCGCCCCGGCCCCGCCTCCGCCGCCGGCTCGTGCGAGCTGGGTGTTTCCTGCCTCTCTCACTCCGGGCTTCGAGACTCCGGCGTCCTCCGACTTTTCATGGTAAGCAGGGCGGTGGCCGCTGACTGGGGCTTCTGGACGGCCGAGAGAGCGGGGCAGAGGCCGAGTAGAGGGGACAGGGACCCCGAGGAGGGGGTGAGATGAGGGGCTGTCGCCATGGGGGAGAGGCGGTTGGGGGATTGGATGGGGGCGAGGCCGGGGGTGGGGGAAGGGCTTTGGGTGGAGAATTGAGAGGATCCCTGGCTGTTGGGGACCCCGGGAAAGGGCATTTGGGTTTGGGGAGTAGATGTGTGTAGGGGTGAGTAGGGGAGGGCAGTCTCTGAGTCTTGAGAGTTTGTTGGAGGTGGGAATTGGTGATTTGTGGAGAGAACAAAGAGATTCATTGAAGATGGACATTTGTAGGGGGGAATGAGGATTTAGTGGAGGTTGTGAAGGCGAATGGGTAGGTTATGAGAGGGCGAAGTGGGATTCCTCGGGGCGGAGCGTTTGCGGTTTTTGGAAGTTGTGGCTGGAGTTTCTGGGTTTCGGAACGTCTGAACACCTGGGCGAGTGGAGTGGCGGAAAGAAAGAGAGCGAACTGGCGGGCGGGTGTGAGTTCGGTGCTTGGAACTCCGCGGAGAGATACCAGGGGCTTGAGGTCAGGGTGCCCTCGCCACGGAGTCCACTGCCTTAACTGGGTACCTATCCAGTCACTTCCGTTGAGGCCCGAAGTGGCCCCACCTAAGGAGCTGGAGATGTTTCACATGCTGTCTCCCAGTTGTGGGAAGGTTTGTGTGCTTGGAATCCTTCAAGGGTCTGTTATCTGAATTAGCTCTTTGTCCGTGGGTGGGAATGATCAAAGTTCGGTCCGTATTCTTCCTTTTACTTGTGTGCCGCCTGTTTCTTCTCTAGAAAGTGCTGTCTTTAAGGAAGATCAGGCCCAAGGATACTGCTGAAGAAAAATTAGTCAACCTGTATTTGACTTGGGTCTGCTCCATTTTGTGCAAATTAAGGGCCACCTGAGGAGAAGGCAGCACAAACCCAGTGGTTCTCAAACTGTGCTCCCCAAACCGGCAGCATCACCTGGGAACTTGTTAGAAGTGGCCAAATTTCTCATCCTGCTCCAACCACTGAATCAGTCTGGGGGTGAGGCCCAGCAATGTTTTAACAAGCCCTGCAAGGGATTAGAGTAACAATTTCTTGATTTGGGCTGTATGATGGAAGGGGCAGGAGAGTGGGAGTCAGAGGATTCTAATAGTACTGTTTCTTAATTTCTTCTCCCAAAAATGTGAGCTTCACGATAACATTTTCCTCACTGGACCATTGAGAGAAATGGGCCAAAAGTTAGTATGCTAAACACAGGAAGAGAAGAGAATTCAGCAAAACACTCGGAAATAGGCAGTAGCTGTCCTATATGTAAGTTTTGGGTGCAAAATAATGGTACAGTTATGTGGCTGGGTGAATTTGGTTGAAATGGACAGCAGACTTTTCTGAGTTGTAGAAATGCCCCCAGTTTGGGGAAGTTTTATAATTCGCCTCAAGGCAGTGACTCTTAGATCTAGCTGGTTAAAGAAACACCTTAGCTTTGTGGCTCTCGCCTCTTGCTGCACGTAACATCACCTGCAGAGCTTTCTAAACTAGTTTGAGCTGCCATGCCCCTCCCCTCCCCAATTTGATTACTTGTGCTGGGGTGAAGTCCAGGCATCAGTGCTTTTGCTTGTTTGTTTTGTTTTCTGAGGAAGATTGGCCCTGAGCTAACATCTGTGCCAGCTGTCCTCTATTTTGCATGTGGGTCGCCACCACAGCATGGCTATGGATGAGTGGTGTAGGTCCATGCCTGGGAACTGAACCCCAGCCATCAAAGTGGAGGGCACTGAAGTTAACCACTAGGCCATGGGGTGGCCCAGGCATCAGTACTTTTTAAGCATGCCCAGGTGATTGTAGTACAGCCGGGGCTGGGCACCTCTGGTCTTGAGGAAAGCTTGAGGGGCAGAAGGGAAACTACACTAAGGACTGGTTGCCAAGTACTTTAACATTCACTCTCTGAGGGTTGTTAGGAAGATTATGGCTTTAACTTCGCTTTACCAGTTAAGAAACTGACACTCGGTTCAACCACTTGTCTGAACAGCACACAGGAAGTGGTGGAACTGGGACTCAGTCCCCGTTGGCCGATCTCTCCATCAAACCTTCCACACGCACATTTCCCCCAACACACACACACACATATGCATGCATGGGAGACAGGTCTGCAGAGATCTGTGTAGAAAACATCTGCAGGTGAGGGATTTGGTGCCTTTTTTCCTGTTGTACTTGCCCAGGTCTCCTTTCGTGTCAACGGTCCCCCTCCAGCTGACTTTTGTTTTTAAGCATGCATACAGTTGCTTCCTGTCTGTGGCTCTGAAGCTGTGAAGTAGGGGCGTGCTTTTGTTTGTGATGCTGTGGTTTGTTTTTATGCCTGGGTGGGAATTCACTGGGCCAATAGAGCAAGAGGTTGGGGAGCTCCTCCAAGACCATGAAGTTAGTTATGGCCTAATTAAGGCATGCAGAACTTTGTAGAGTAGTGGGTTGCAATTTAGGCTGCATATTGGAATTACCTGGGGGAGTTTCCAAAGTTCTGTTGCCCAGGCCACAGCCCCAGAACAATTACATCAAGATTTCCATGGGTAAGACCCAGGCATCAGGATTTTCTTAAGCTCCCCAGGGCATTCCTATGTGCAACCAAGTGGAGGGCCCCTGTTTAGAATCAGCAACAGTATACTCAGGGAAAATGGAAAAGAGAGAAGGCTTGACTTATCCATCTAACTGGAATAAACTTCTTTTCTGATTGAATAGAAACGGTAACCAATACCTTCAGTATCATTACCTCTCTGTTTCTTGTAACCAATTTTGCTCTCTCCTGTGCCAGCTCCCCAACCTCATTAATAACGAAATCAAACCTTTGAAACAAGTTAAAAAGCAGGATCCCAGTAGCGGTGGCCTCTGTAGAGAGGTTTGCTGTGAGAGGCTTGTTGTGTCCTCAGCTCACCGTAACTCAGGCTCAGGGACATGAACACAGCCAGAACGTTTTTTCCAAGGGCCTCTTCTGGTGTTGAGGAGACTGACCTTTGGAGGGGTGGGCTCCTGAGAGGTTCAGAGCTTTCTTTGTCTGTTCTGGAGTCTCAAGCTAGAGCAGGATGGTTTCTGCCTTCATCTCTTAGTGATTCAGTCAGCTGTGCATAGAGCTGGAAATGGGCTCCAAAGAGAAGATAATCTGAGACTTGGCGAACATTCTCAAATAGTCGTAGTTTGAGTGCTTTGTGTCTGAGTATTTGCTCTGAGCCAGGGGCTGTGTTGAGTGCTCTCTGTGGCATCCCTCACAGCAGCCCTGGGAGGCAGGTGTGGCTGTTGTCCCCATTTGATAGATAGGACTTGACTCAGATGACTTGTCCGGACTCCCAGAGCTGGGAAATGGCAAGGCTGGGGACTTCAACTCAGGTCTGACTTCCAAACCCAAGCCCTCAGCCACACGTTGCCTCCCATCTTTTTTCAGAGCTTTTTTGAACTTTCTAAAGAAGGCGAGTAGGGCCCCCCTTCCTCAAGTTATATGTTAGAGCTCTGTATATACCAAGCATGACCCTTGATAAAATCATGGGCTCCAGGCAGGACTTGCCACGTCCTTCATTTACTCCCTTACCAACTCACTTTGGGAAGTGACTGAACTTCTGTGGCTGTGGTATCAGAATCTCCAAAGCGGAAATAACAATAGCCATCTCCCAGCGCTCTTTGGATTTTAAATGGTCAAATGTGGTGGTAGAAAATAAAACAGTGGGATCTTCTGGGAGGGAGGAGTGGGAAAGGGGCCTGGAGGAGCTTTCTGGAGCAGTGGAAATGTTCTCTATCTTGATTGGAGGTGGGGTTACACAGATGCATATATTGACCAAAACTCATCCAACTCTACATTTAAAATGCACTTTATTGTATGCAGGTTATCTTTCAAAAGGTATTGGAAAGCCAAAAAGCAAACAAAATATACTTTATGACTTTTTTGTCTGTCTGATGGGAGGTGCCTTAAAAAACGTTACACCATTTCCCAAAAACATGTTTATTTTTGTGTACATGTAGATTTGAAAGGGTACTTTAAAAAGTATTTCCATTTTGGGGCAAATTTCTTTAACTAACCCCTCCCCCCCCAAAAAAACCACCCGTAACTATAAGCCTTTTTTTCCTCTCCAGGTCTTCACAGTTTTTAGAAACTCTAAGCCCATAAGCTCCTGCCATCATCCCAGGGACAGAGTTTTTCTGGGGGAAATGGTTGGTGATAACTGGCAGTGTTGGTCTCTGGGGACTGAGTTCAAAGGAAAGCGAAAAAGGAGGGCCTGCCGCTTCCTCTTGGCCTTTCTTATATGTTTGGTGTCAGGCCACAGGGACCCCAGGTGAGCTAAGCCTGAGCTTTTGGAAAATTGCCGCCTTCTTACATTTTCCCTTAATGAAGCAGAAACAGTTTCTCGAGAAAACACTTTTCTTTCCAGGAGGCCATTCCTCCTCCGTGTCACTCTGCAGGGCCTGGACACCAGTCCCCCAGTGGGTGATTTCCAGGCCGCTCTTTTGGGAGGATGGAGGTCACGAGGTCCACCGTGGCCTGTGCTATTAGTGGTGGATGGCAGGTTGCCAGCTGTTAGTCCCTTTCCCATTCAAAAAGTCACACTTGTGTTTTACTAATTGTAAATGTAATACGTGTTCCTTGTGGGAGATCTGGAAAAGATAGAAAGGCATCAAGAATTTTAAAAATAGTCCTTTTTCAGTATCGGGGT